GTGATGGCTTTTCACCCCACTATATGTGTCTGTGGTGAGTGTTGCGCACCGAAAATCCCAAGGCCATGTCCACCAAAAAAGGGTGAGCATGGTGATGGCTTTTCACCTCACTGTGTCTGTGGTGAGTACTGAGGTGGCGCGTGATGAGGGGCTTCTGGCAGAAGATGGGCTACCTACGTCTTTCATAACCACAGGTTATGAGCCCAAGGGTTGTTTTTCTTTTTGGGTTGAAGTCCACCCACGACCTGCTGTGAGAGCGGCGTGGTGTTGGTCCCCATGGAGCAGCGGCGCCGGCGGATGCGATCGCGGGAGGCTCACGAGCACCATGGAGATCGAGGAGGAGAACTGGAGATTGGTGCCCCTGATCGAAGGTTGGATCAACTGCTGTGTGTGAGCACAGGAGGTCGCAGCCAGCATCTTCGGCACCGAGTGGATGAACAAAGAGATGGCCATGGACGTCGACCAGGAGGTGATCAGGGCTCGGGCAGGGACCAGCGTCCTCTGCTGACTGGGCCTGGAGGGCCACAAGTCGGCTATGAGGGCAATGGGATGGCTGGCGGACTGTTCGAGCTGGACAGGTGGGCCTGGGGAGACTCCAGGACACTGTTCGACATGGTCTGGAAGCTCTACATGTTGCTCTTGGACGGGGGCCTACTTGATCCACTTCTTCGACCACACGATCAAGGAGTTCTCGGGGGGCATCTTCCTGGAGATCGGCGCGGGCAAGGAAAGGAAAAGGAAAAAGCAAGGAAACGGAAAAGGAACAGGAAAGGGGCAGGGCCAAAGGAGCATAAACGCTGTATGAACTTGCCCACGCCCTGCGCTCGTGACTCTCCCCTCTTTCGCTCCCTCTCCTCCCTCTCTTGCGCAGGTGTCCAAAAAGTCCTCGAGCCTGTCGCTGGCGACGGTCCCGGCAGGCTTGAACTCTAACTCGACGGTGACGGTCGGTGTCGTGGGGATGGTATGCGTGCCACATTTGCAGTTTCGGTGTAAGTCCTATAGGTTCGGATGGAAGGACGGAGTCCCGTTGTCCGACGGGAACAGCTATATGAGATCCGATCATCATGGAGAGGAAGGTTGCAAATCTCCTGCGGACCAGACCTTTGTGGTGGAAGGAGTTGCCGCCTCAGATTGTTGGGGCGATTTGCTGCGTGGCTGCATGATGCGCATTACGAGAAAGCAAGTCTGGACTCTGACAGCAATGGAGCAATGAGCTGCGCGTTCTTGGGAAGATCTGTTGACGCACGGGGTTGAGCCGGCAATTCTGGACGAGGGCTTTGAAGTTGTTTGGAAGCATCTGGGCAAGGGCCCGAAGAAATCATTTTGCAAAAGCCTACCCGGGGCGTTCGTACTTGAAGCTTTGCCTCCTTGTCCTCCTCCTTTGCAGGACTCGGGTCTCGCGTGAGTGTCGTATGCTCTGACTGAGACGGGAATTGAGGGTAGTGTGGTTGTTCGGGGCCAAAGGATGAATTTATACTGCGTTTAAACTATCGTTGGACTTCCTATATAGACCGTTTGGAGCCCATATACGGTAACAATAGTAGCAATTTCATAATAGTAAGGCTAAGAGATCATATAAGAGATATTGTTTTTTCCAGAATTTGTGAGCATGTCGTTATGTGTTTTCCTTGGTCTCCCACACTGCAAGTCCGGAACTTCCCTTTTGTGCCCGTTTTTGGTAAGTTCTGGCCACACCTGAGCTAAGATTGAGCTGGAAGCCTTTTTGCTCTTCAATCTCTTCTATAAATTTTCATTGTTCGCACCATGCCGCTCAATGTGTGCCAGGCCGGCGACTACATGCGCGGCAGCAGCCGCGCAATCGGTTCGGTGTCGGCAGTCGGTTTGCGTATTTTTCTCGGCTCGGTATCGGCTCGATGCCGCGTAGTATTTGTCGTATTCGGTTCGGTTTTTCGATTTGCGGCGTTTGCGATCGGTTCGGCTCGGTGTGCATCGGTTTCGGCTTCGGCGCTACGATTTGTATTGTTGAAACATTCATGAGGATAGGGCTCTGATATAGGGTATGATAATGTATGATGATAGTTGAAAAGTTTTTTGCTGTTTCTTGAAGGTTGGGCATTGGGAGACTTGGGGGTGCCTATCGAGCAGCAGGCCTTTGCTGTTTCAAGTTTCCAAGTAGGGTCAGCAGCAAGGGCTTACTTATCTAGAGAAACTTCAACTTGCATGTTTACCCCAACAAAAATTACTGCAAACCTACTTCACAACAACCTGGAGGAGAGTATGCCCCATCACACCTCGTTTAATGTAAACTCTTGATATCTCTTGATTCAAAACACACCCATATTAAGAGGTATTGCCATCCATGTTGGGGGGTACCTAGTGGTACTTATGAATCAAGAGTCTAGATTAAGTGGAACCTGTGATTTCTGAAGAGAGATTCGGTGACATCCCTCAACCGAGGAGCCAAGCGCCTGCTCATCAGTTTGATCCTCTTGCTTCTTGGATGAGATGGGCGGATGGTGTATGCGGGAGGAAATATGGACTCCAGCCTGGTCCTCGTGGTTTGGTCATTTGCCACTCGTGGTTTGGTCGGTTATGCAGGTTAGATGTTGAATGACCCCTCCACAGGTTGGCTTCGACCAGCGACGTTAGAGGGAAAATCGTATAGAAAAAATTGTTGTTTCATGCCATGTTCATGATTTAATATATTATGTTCTCAAGGCATCTATCATCATCTATCTCCAGATTTATAACGGAATCAGACACGTTTTTCCTCCGGCCATCCAGTCGATGCCACAGCGCACCCGAATGGGAAGCCAGCGCGCGACCGCAACGTGGGTCTGCGGCCGCCTGACCGTCCTTCGATCCGAAGAGACGTTGTTTCGTTGCTCAAACCCCTGTGAGTTGGATGACCATGTTCAACCATCTCCTCTCACAGGGATTATGGCCGTGGATGACTGTTTTTTCGAACTATTTGGGGAAAACGCATGCGCTGTTCTTAGAGTTTTCACGGGAAAGATGGACTGCAAGTGGTCGGTCCGTTGCTGTGCGGGCATGGTTGGATGTCCAGAGTGGCTGGCGAACAGTTGTCTGTATACAAGTCATCAGTTGATGTCCAGATCACTTTTCCTGGCCAGACTATGCCAGACATGTTTGTACAATTTCATCACATTCCATCATGACGTCCATCATGACTTTATGTTGACAACTAAGGAACCTTTGCCTCAGTATCCTTTTGCTGAGCTCGCTTTCCGCCGTGGCGTGCTCAGCAGTTCATTTGAAGAATCGTAACAAGATGTAACAATTACCCTAGACTTCCAAGACCAGTAAAACAATGGTTGACCTGGTTTTTGTAGTGTAAAATCCTTAGTTGATTATGTTGTTGGAGTTGTTGTTGGGTATAGTTGTTGGGCGTTCCTTGCGGGTGGTTCGTCCTCCCTCAAACAATCATGGAAGCTGAGCAGACTCCGGTCGTAGAGGAAAATGTGTCTTCCAGTGGCCTACGTATCACTTCCATTGTTTCAGGGAGTGTACCCAACATGGAGGTGGATGAAGGGTTGTTTTCGCCCTCGCAAGATGAGGCCTCCGCCCTCCTGCGGTTTCTCTGAGCGGTCAAATTCATCGTTGCCCTCCCGCCTGTCAGGCTGGGGCCTTTGCTGGAAATCTCTTGAAATTGGCATGTCCAAATCCGGCATGTACAGCAAGGAGTTGGGTTCAAGACACCTTCCCAACCAGAAATCGGCACAGTTTTTTGGAACAGTCTGATAATTTATTGAAATGCCCATAGCACAGCGTACCTACTATGCAGTAATCCTTTTGAACAACGCCAGATTGAAATCGGCCGACTACCCATGACACCAACCCACTTCCACCCTGCAACCAGCCGGAAGAAACAGAGCTGCGCAGCTCGTTCAGATCCAAAAAGAGTTGCGCGAGGCGTTCAGCGGCCACCGAGAAAACCGACATCTGAAAGAAGGTCGACACCAACTAGGTTGGAACACCAACTTCAGGCATTCCGGAGCCATGCCATCCACTTCCGTATCCGCTTATGTCCCTGTTTCCTGTTAAAGACGTGACCCTGTTTACAAGGTGGATAACAGACCCTTGGATAGATGATTCTAGTCCTTGGTTTGGAGGTTTTCCTTTTTCTGATCCCCGTGAACGAACCCGGCAGGTGATGAAGTTTGCCCGCTTTTTCCACGGGACCTGTTGCCTCCAAAAGCACACGTCCACGTCTCTGGAATGTCCACTCCCTCATACCAAATTTGCTACTAGTAGCAATGCCCATGTTACTAGTAGCGATGCCCTTGTTCTCTTTTAATGTTTGTTGACGCACTCCAAAACGGGATTTGGATGGGCTATCATTTTCTTGGGAGCAGTTTGGTGTGAAGAATTTGAGGATTTGTGGCATTTTGAGAACTGCTGTATGAACATTTGAATCGCAATTGGTTTGAAGATACTGTAAATTAATTACTTGAGTTCGGGTCTCCAAGAATGGTTTAACTAGACATTTGAGACAAGGTGTGAGCCAGTGTAGCTAAAATGCACCATGCAAATCAACAGGCCTTTCAGCTGATTTGGCTCAAAGCTTAGCTGATTGACTGAGAACGAAAGTATGACTGAACAGAGGCGTGAAGGGCGAGGGGAATTGTTTTCGTGAACTTCCTGCATGGATCAACTATCTATCTCAACTGTCCAATGTTATGGTAAATCATCCTTAAACATACATTGAATAGCGAACTTGCCAAGCACACCATGAGTATCCATGAGTTCTCATTCGCTTTCAGTCTTCCACTTGAGGATGACCATGACGCACCACCAAAGTAAAGATTGTCAGACATATATAAATGTTCACTATTGTTCACTTGTTTGCAGGGCTACCTGACCCGTTGTCATGTTTTATTGGGACTCTAGAAGTGGGTGTCTTGGTGACCTCGGTGACGGTCCATGACCGGGTATACCGTCAGCTGGTGACGGTCGGTGACCATGTCCGCCACTCTGAGCTCGATGCTCTTCGGATCGCATGCGAGTGACACGACGATGAGAGTTCTCACTCCCGACACGACCTGTCTGGGACTGCCATATATGACATATGATCATATTCGGGTGGTTCACTGGGGGTCAATGGGGCGGCAGTCCTATGGCAGTCCCATGTGTCGTGCCTGGGCATGGTGACATCGGACCATGACCATGTGGGTCTCTCAGTGGTTTTTTCTCACGGAAGATCAAGCGGTCGGAGTGCCAATCGGCCTGATTGGGCCCGGTCATGACTAATGGGACTGCCATATTTTGCCGATCAGGTGTGAAGGTTCACCAGGGGTCAATGTATGTAATTAACTGTGCCACTGGACCTGACTCCATGGTCTTGGTGGTCTTGAGATCGGGCCCACAGACATCCTGTGACAATCTCCGAAGAGGAGAACATTGAAGGAAGTAGATGCCATCCGAGAATCACAAGTCAACCACTGCCTGGTTGGTCGTTGGTTGCCCAGTTCTTCCAACGGCAGGACGCGATGTGTGGTGATTTGCACCCGTCATGATATGTGAGCTTTTTGCGGGGAGATGATGATGATTGACGAGGTTCCTACGTGACACGATGAGGATCTTTCAGAGGTGAAAGCAGCCATCAGCAAATCATCGGGCCATGAGGCGCTGCGGAATCAGCCCAAAAACGAGTCATCGCCACCGGTGCAGGAACTATGAGCAGCTGCAAGTGAAGCTCCGTGGTCTTGAGAACACCGTCGAGGATTTGGTGCAGCAGGTGCGCGCGCGCGATCGCCTGCCCGGCCTGGCGGTCGATGGACTTTCAGGTCGATGGGTGTGTATTTGAATAGGGAGACATAGGGAGACCCCTCAGTTTGACGTCTTGGGAAGAAAGAAAAACATACGAAATCCATTGGTTGGGTGGGCTCCCTCTTAAATCACACACCCATATATGGTGGCATGAGATGATATGAGATGGTGGATGTCCAATCTAGATATTGCTTTATGCTTTTTAAATTGTCTACAACGTGAGGTGTTTGTTGCATGTTTTGTCGTTGTTCCTGTTGTTGTCATGTTTTCTCTACCCACACCCTCGGTGCGTGCTGTATTGCAGTAGTTTCTGGCGACTGCACCCTGATCTGTCCTTCCGCAGTTCTTGGTGTAGCAAGATGCTCTTTCTGGGGAAGGGGATCTGGGAGTGTTGTCCATCATATACGTAGACCAAATGCGTGGACAGCTCAGTTCAATGCACGGTTTTACTTGCCACATGACCTCTCCCTCCCCAAGACAGAAATTCGAGTGGATCCTGGTAGAAACAGAATGTTGAGTGGATCACAAGTGAAGGAATCCAAAAAACATCACGTGTGGAAATTCCAGCTCATCCCAGCAATGCTGGAAACCGTTGGGATGAACTGGAACGCAGTTGGGGACGATGAACTCGGCGGCTCCTGACAACGCTCTCCGCGCCCGTCTTCTTTGCGTTAGGCGTCGAGCAACTTGCGGCTCCTTGGACGAACTGAGGTGGCAAAGGCAGTCAGGAGGTACACAAGGTCAGTCAGGAGCCTTTTCTACTTGGCTATGTCCAAAAGGAGGCTGAAATGGAGACCTAGAAGTGGCAGGTGATGACCTGGCAGTGAGAGTGCTGGTATAGTTTGTTGCATTTTGCTGCAGCTTCCAGCGTGTGATGAGCTCGAGACACACTGACCACCACCAACCGACGGGGGAACACAAGCCAGCATAGCCCATAGCCGTTCCAATGGACAAAAACATGGAACAGGAGGAACAGGACGCATGTCTTTCTCCAATGGTTGCTTTCTTGTGACCGCTTTCTGCGATGTTCTGTGTATTTAAAATAGAGCAGTGGATCATCCCTGGCATCCCAGGCTTCACGCGGGCAGAATTCTGGACAGTCCTCCCTCCCCTCGCACCGGTGTGTATCCCGCACCGGCTTTCCATATTTGCAGTTGTTCTCCCTTCACAGTTCTGTGAATCGGGGATCCCGCGTAACTATGTGGGATACATATGGAATAGACATGAAGAGACATAATATCATATCCCATTGTATATATTTTGTTGATATTGTTTGATGTATATATATAAAGCTGTCCCACTTTCCAAGACTCCTTGGAGAGAGAAACTAAAGCCATGGCAGCTAAGCCATAGCGTTGCATTTTTGAGGAAAGAGCTTCGAAGTGTTGAAGAGCGCTTGAAGCGGCAGATCGAGAGTAGCCAGAAGGACCAGGACGGATCGGGCGGTTCGGCCGATGTTTTTGTGGCAGATGTCCAGACTCTTTGGAAGTGAATCTCACATGTTCAAGATGAATTTCTCTAACATCAAGATCCTAGGTGCAAGATCCAGATTGAAGGGATCGCCTTGGAGATAGAGAGACCATCCCACAGGTCCTACCTGTGTCACACCTGTGAAGACCCACCAAGACTCCGTGGGCCACGTGGTTACGCTATGCAGCTCTAAAGCATGTTGGTTAAATATGGTTTTGTGCTGCGGTCTGAATCATGAGAACTGACACATGCCATTGGTTGGAATCTAAATAGTTGTTTGACTGTTGAGGAGTCAACAAAAATGCCACAAATTTTGGACCAGGGAGCCACATCAGCCAAAAAAACACAGGAATGATGTTAAGAAAGCAGTATACGAACCGAAGAACTGCAAAGCGCCTCGGTGCCAGCCCTATGGGTGGTGCGCTTTGACCCCGCGCCGGTCGGGTCGAGGCCGCGGAGACCTTCAACGTGAAGCGCGGCCTCTCGGAGCAGTTCACCGGTGAGGTGCGTGCCGCCGAGGCGCGGGTGGAGATGGAGTGCCGCTGGAGGTGAAACAGGAGGGGAAATGGTGGGATGTGACAGTGATCTGTGCTTGGGAATTGCCGTTGATATTTTTTGGGGGGAGGAGGATGGAGGATGGAAAAAGGAATATGCCAAGGTAGGTTGAGTGCCGGAAATGCAAGGAAGAGGCTTGAGAATCTTGAGAGGCTGTGAGCACGTTGATTGTTCGAGCGTCAATTAGCGTAATTATACAAATGATAGTACGATGCAATTACTTGTTTACTTTGTGCATGCTGTCGATGTGCAAAGCTGTTTTTGGTTACCGTGCCTTTATGTATTCTTCGTTTTGGGAATGGCTGACCCAACATGCGTGATTGGGGACCTTGGAACCTCGAACAGAACCGGAAGAGATGCGGAGTCTCGTGGTATTTGAGATGATCCCCACTGAGGATGTGCTCTATCCACAACAAGCCCTTTAGGAACCAGGTTATAACACGGCTATAACACAATCAGGCTATAACAAACCCTTCTGGTATCAGGCTATAACACGGATTCGATCCCACCGTTCTCGTGGTGCAAAAATGGTGGGTTCTCCACATGGGTGGTATTCTCCTGGTCTCCACCAGTCTCTACCTGTCTCCACCAGTCTGTTTATGCCATATATGCCTCACTCGCCTTCAAGGACCGTCTCACCCGACGTATGGACAGTGAGCGCCGGGACCACAAGGCGGCTTCGCGGCTTCGGCGGTGTTGGAGGCTGCTAACCTGTCCGAGGCTAGAAAAGGAGAGGTCAGGTCAGGTCAGTTGATATGATTTGATATGATTTGATATATATTATTTATATGTGTTTGTTTCTGTGCGCGCCCTTGTTCGCGGGTGACATGACCACAGATTTCATAGACTCAGTCTCATCCCGAGTTTCGCCGACAGAAGTTCGTCGTTCGTCCAGTTCGTCCAGTTCCTCGCCTTCCGTTGGACTGCGGTGACTGACTTTACTCATCGTCTATCAAGCTATTCAGGGAACCCAGCGGCACAGATCGATCCCTCAAGCGTGGCACGGAGCGGGTGAATTGGCCGTGAAGCGACCAGTCCGACCAGTCCGCTAGGCCGCTAGGCCGACGACATCGACCACATGCATCATGCGACCATTGATTTTAGGCCTAATTCATTGGGGTTGAGGGCCACCCTGGGGTTGATTGGGGTTACACTAAACTGGGGTTACATTGGGGTTGCTTGATTCAGCATAGTTTAAGCATCTTGGGGTTGATTGGCGGCGGAAGTAACTGGACAGTGCAAATTGAATGTACCAAGTTTGCAGCAGAGCAAACCAGCTTTGGAACTGCTAGAGGTGGATGGCAATTTCATACATTATATCATACCGTACCCTGTTCTAAAGAGAGATCTCTCAACAAAATGGGTGCCTCACTCTGAATGGGCCTCAAAACTGACATTGTTCTCCATGGATGTGCTCCTTAGACGCCGATGGAACAGGGCACCGGCCGTCAAAACCGCCAGGAGGCCGTGGCTGAGCTGCGACGCGAAGTCACGGCACAGCTGCTGGCCGCTGGGCGTCGAGTCGGACCCGGTGGGGGGCGGAGAACCGAATCGGGCTTCGGTTCGGAAGAATGAAAGATGAGGAATGAGGAGGATCAAGAACTAGTGCATCGCTACTAGTAGTAAGTGCATGGCTACTAGTAACAAGAAGCATCTTCAGGAACAAACCAGATGATGAAAGTTTGATTTTGTAAGGATGGATCTAAAGACATCTCAAGACATCTTAAAGACCATTTCATGTGAAGTGCATTTGCGTGCAATGACCGCATGAGAACTGACTGAATTTGGACAAGTATATTAATACATGGATAATCTAAATGGGTTGAAGCTGCTGAGGTTCCTACCCAGAAAAAAAACATGAAAAAACTGCAGATACACCTTGGGACAAGTCTTGCACATTGAACATTTCCCTGATCAACAATGTGCAAGACCTCAAACATAAATAGAAAGCATCACATTACATGTACCCTCAGAGCATCTAGTTTCACGCAGGTGTTTCTATATTGTTTTCGAGTTGTCAAGCATGTGCTCTGTTGACAAACACCGGGTGTTTCTGATCCTCCGTGTCCTTCCGTCTTCTTCGTGTCGAACCCGCGACACGAGCCGAGGCACAACAGCAACAGGACACCGCGTCCTTTGCCACCCAGCGGGTTGCTCCTTGGACTTCCCAGTAAAGTTGGACGGGAGGAATTGCGATGCGTTTCCTGTGTGATCCAGTTCCTGGATCTGATGGGCATGAGGGGCGCCTGCGGGTGCGGCATTTATCTATTTAACTGGTAACACAAAGCCTGAAAGAATTATGGGTTCGTGGAGTGAGGAAAAACGGTCTTTCCAAGGGCAAAACACGTGGAAAACCTTCGGTTGCAGGACAATGGGGCATCTCACAAGTTGGGGAATAAACCAATTGGTTTTCCAAGTTCAGCTGCTTCTTCGGAATTTCTAAGGTTTGAGCTAAACTTGCGTGTGTTGACTGTTGAGGGCCGGATTTCCTTTGGGTCATGCTGGCCATGGGAAGCAGGTCGAGCGTTTCCGTTCGTAGCGACACGCACCTACGCGCGTGCGTGAGGTGTGCATTATTTCCGCGTTGAAATTGTTGCTGCTGAAGCTTTACAGTATGATATCCCATGATGTCCTGTGCTAAAATACAAGCTTGCTGGTGTTAGAATTGTTGCTGCTGGTATGATATACTATTGTTTTTTTTTAAGTAATATTATTACTATATATATATATCATGTGATCATATGTACAGTGCACTTTTCTTCTTGAAGCCGTCCAAGATTATGTGCCAAGATTATGTGTAAGATTTTACGTTGTAACTGCAATAAATAAACACGATTGATTGAAATATCAGTTGTATGATCATCCGGTGTGTTTCTGCAAAATGTGTTTCAACTGTCAAATGATTCTATGGTGTGTAAATCAAACAAACGCAATTACAACGAGTAGTCTGGATTTTTGTTTTAGAGCATATACAGAATGTTCAATCAAGACTGATGTCATTTAAGGTGACTGATGTAGATATTTGTTGCAGACTTGCAAAGTTTTGAATAAAGCACTTTGTGTGAGAAGGTTTTTGGATGGTTTCACAACACAATTGTATAACTGAATTATTGTGGTTTAACGCATATGCCAGTCATGTTTGTCTCAAAAAGTATGTTGGACATTGCTTTAAGTAAGTGTTTGTTGAACGTGATTGAACACGTGTCTTACAATCGTCCGTATGGAGGTACGTGTATATAGTAGAACCAAATAGTATAACGCAATCGTTCAAACTATATTCAGTGAACATGGCTGAAGGTTAGTATCTATATGATGGCTTTGGAAAATCACAACAGGAGTCAAGTACAGCTTTCTATAGAATATGTGGTGATAGAAACATGGTCAGTATCATAATGAAACTACACAATGATTGTGTTTTTTCAGCAACACATATTGAACATCGAATGCACTGAAAGTTGTATAGCATTTTGTAAACACAATATGTTTTGGTAAATGGTTAATCAACTGTTTGTTGCAATTTCCAAAAGTATATATCTACAACTAAAATTCACAATGACAATAAAACAAAACCTTTGAACCTATTCAAGCAAACAATCATGCAAAAATCAGTTAGATGTTAAACATGTATCAGACCGATGTGTGTTTTTCTTAATATTGCTCAATTAGCATAATACAGTGTAAAACTACACATGTTTATCACTGGGTAAACATGTTGAAGCTGGTATATAAATGGTTTATAAATAGGGTCTGTCCTGTTGCCTGTAACAGTCAACACAATTGTCATCATTTTTGAACAAGGCCTTCACTAACCATCATCATCCACTGTTACAGGTATTAGGATAGACCCAATTTTTGTTGGTTTTATTTTGATGGTAACCGTTTACTCGGTAATGATCAACAAGCACATGGTATCATGTATATTGCTTTGATTGTTCCAGATCATGAAAATTTCATATTTCACATGAAGAAAAACAACACTTTAGATGTACAATGTCTCGTGTCTCGTGCACCTGCTGGAATATGCAATAATTCAAGTCTGGGTTTTCTAATGTATGTTCATTTGATATTGCTGATCGTCATGAGGTTCATCCAAGTCGCCCGTCGCATGGTCAGTCCGTGCCGGTGCTCAGGTGCCCAAAGAGAGCGAAGAACTCTCGAAACTCCGCGGCGTCATGGAGGACCTCCGCAGCCTACAGGAGCATGCGCAGAAGGACGGCGACCGCCGGTCGTGCGGTCGTACGGACGGCGATCACGCTCGTCGCACGTGGAGCGCGCGATCGATTGGAAGTCGATGCACTGATGGCGCCGCGTTGTAAGGCCTTGTAATGGTTGGAAAGCCAATCTGACCCCTCTATGATTCATAGGTATGGACATCACTGGCACCGATCTAGCGATGTTGGGTGTGGTGATTTTATTGTGTGCGAGCAAGTGTGCGGGTCTATTCAACCAACCTGTGAGGGTCTAGGATTCACACAACTTTTCGTTTCAGCTAGGCATGTTTTGCAGGGTTTGAATATGTTTGAATGAAGGTTCATCATAGAATTCTTAGAATGCTGTGGAGTAGTAGAAGGTGTCCGAGATTTGAAATACCTATTTGCGCGTATCAGTTCGATAGCCCGGGTAGAATGACTTGCAAGCCAGCCGACTTGTGCAATTGGATGTTGGTTCTTTGTGGTCTCCGGCAGTCCCAACCGCCCCGCTGGCCGTTTTGTGTGGATGTCGGTCGATGTCGACAGCAAGACAGCATGGTGAGGATGCCACTCGACTGGCACAAGAGCTCAAAGATCAAAAACAACTTTGCGTCTCCCGGAGCAACGAACTCGTGGAGTGGAGGAGTGGAAGTGTGGCACTGGGATCCCTCTTGAGAACGGGTAAAGACGGGGATTCCAGAGAGAAGTATCTCTATGTCATGGAATTCAATGGAATTGAAAAAACTGATGTTGTTGCTGCCAAGACGAAAAAAAAACGATCTAAACCGCCCGAAAACCGGTTTTGGGGGTCCGGACCTAGGGATTTTGGGGGGTCCGGACCCCAGACCCTGAACATCTCCACAGACTGAGCGTTCGTTACCCTCTTGGTATGTTGGGGTTTGCTGGACTCTTCCTTGCGGGGCACATTGAGCCTCATTGAGCTCGGTCGTGGTTGAACCCCGAAGTTGACCATCTACAGGAGAGTTTGAAAGGCCTCAAACAATCAACACAAAAACCTGAGAGGCACGATGAGGCACGGGATGAACAAGAGGTGTAAGAGCTTTAAGAGCTTCCAGATGCTGATGACAATCGCAGCGTTTTGCTTCAAACACTTGATCTGGCTGTTAGAAGGTAGGATTAGGATCAACAACCAGGGTAGTACCAGTCACCCGACGCTCTCGACCTGCCATACTGTATTCCCTACTTGGTGCCCAGTGTAGTTGTCACAACCCTTGTTGCAAGGGGAGACCTTCCACCGCACCGTGAACTCCAAAGTTCTATGTCCAACTGTTGCGAAATGCGTCCCATGAACCGAATCGAGTCTTTCTTGCCGTTAACTTGTAATCAAAAACCATATACACATCCCCTGTTCCTTTGGGTTTGAGACCTTGTCTAACCATTGGTATTGTCGTGTATTATCCATTTTGTTATTGGTTTGAAGCCTAAAGCATCCTAAAACTACTCGTTGCAAGAAATCACATCAAGCTCCGAAAGCACCCTAGAATCACAGAAGCAACGTTTGCAGACCTGTGACTTTGCCGCAGTGAGGAACGGATGGATTTATCCATGCGTCAGCACGTGCAGGGCTCGGGTTGTCAAAAAAGTCGGGAGGTCCAGGGTTGTGGATATGTGTCATATGTTTGACAAGCATCGTCGACATGCACAGGTACTACTTGGGAATAGAAAGTATGTCTAGGACAAGGAATGTGTTGACATGATTCGACGTAAGAGATTGGTGAACAGGCACCCCACGTGTCAACAGTTTGAGTCTACAGTCGCTTGGTCAATGTCACAGATGCTTGATGTATTTGAACAGTCCATTTAAATTTTGTGAACTCATCGTGGAAGTTGACGGTGTTTTGCCCCTGCAAAAAACAGTTTTTCCTCCCGGTGGTGCAAAGAAGCACGGCAACTCGTAGCCGAGGCCCTGCCGTTGGTTTTTGGACATTCTCAGTCTCAGAACACCCCCCGCGAGCTGCGAGCTTCCCCCCACACTTCTGCGACCCCTGCGCCCGCGACTGCTTCTTTCGGGCCAGATGAGCAAGTACCAGACGGAGATGTTGACCGTTCGCACATCCGTGGAGAAAGTCGATTTGGCGGCGAAGCAGGCTCAGAAGGCGCCGAAGAACGCGAACAGGGCAGTGGAGGAAGATTGGAGGGAGCATATATAGGGAGGGTCCGGGAACGGAATTGGGACAGCGGACAGATTGGGATGAATTTCTATACAAGTCCCAGAAGTGAATAGTTCCATGTTCGCTCGCGCCTTCATGCAACAACGAATATCGATTTAGGCACGTTGTATAGAGTGAATTCTTGTGCCCCTCCTGGTTTTGTCACCAACTATATATCCTGAGGTGAGAGAGAGAGAGAGCATTGGTGAATAGAACACTGCCAACAACAGTTGCTATGGAACATCTATTTCATTTGTTTATTTTTACAGTCTTGTTTACTGAGTCCAGATGATTTTCCCCTTTTCTTGTGCTGTCCCATATCCAGGCTGCAGAAACACGAGGCGGGAGCCGATGGCTGAGCGGCATGCAGTGCGGTGATCACCGGAGCTCTCAGAGATAAAGCTGGGATAGATTTCTTGGACCATTGTGGGTCTCATAGAGACGAAGATCAACAATGAACATGAAGATGCAGGTTCAGAATTTTGAACGAGAATTGGGAGGATGTCCCGAAAGCAGATTCCTATGGTTGGAAAAGTTGTATTAGGAGAGGCTGGAGAGATGAATGTTCTCCACACCTCAAGCTAACTAGAGTCTATGCAGGAGAAGATGGTCAAGCAAGCGGGGTCAACATTATGTCATAATTTGAGTCTTTGATCTACACTCCCTGGAAGTATCATAGAAGTGGAAAATGGCTCCTTGGAGGACCATGTTCCTCTAGAAGCAAGTGGCGAACTCCACGTCCATGAGTATTCCCAGGAGTGTATGTTTTGGGACCTCTACAATCAGAGAGGAGGTTGGAAATACGATCACAGGTCGCACTTGCCCGAATATGCAGATATTCAGATATACAACACATTTTGCATATATGAGGTTTATATAGTAGGTTTATGATCGTTTTGCGGAGTGGCCACATTGTTGGTCGCCTTCCAGGATTGATTTCCGATACTCACACATCACATGGAAGCCAAGTTCACTCCATTTGGGTAGAGAAAAAGTATCCTTTGGGGTTGTCCTCACTCTTACATGTAACAAACAATGATAAAAGATTAATCAATTATCACGATTTTAGAACAAGGCCTTTGCAAACCATTATCATCCACTGAGGCCCTGGGAGCTTAGGATAGATCCAGAGTATCCTTCACGTCAGGTGGGCCATGGTCCATGCATGTTCCCATGTGGGAAGCCGCCCCCGGTGGACAGGACATGTGTTCTTTCCCTTAGTAGATCGATCTCTTATATCCAAGTCACTTCACCAATAGGTACCACATGGTACAACCAATAGGAAGATGGTACGCACCAACCCCTATTCTTCCCATTCGGTTGGATATGATTGGGTTGGGTCAATTGGCTAATTGGCTCGGGTCTCTTCCATTGGACGCAGCCAGGCGCCAGTGCTGAACAAGAGCAGGAGCGTGAGAACGCCTTTGTGGGTTGCGCCGCTGGGCTCAAGACCCGAAGACGACTCATGACGAACTGAAAGACGACTCATGTGGCAGGTGTGCGATGATTTTTGAGTGTTTTTGATGGTTGATCCGTGTGTTCCACACCGGTACGTGTGGACCAAGAGAAGGGGCCCCGCAGACCTGCTGGGGCCAAACGAAGCACGTGAATTGACCAGAGAAAACCAGCTTTCACGAAGGAATCATCCGCTTGAAACATCGTCAAACAAAAAGTCTTCAAACAGAAGTCGAATGGATTTAAAGCCTGTGTTCAATCCATGGTGTTCAGGCTATTAAAAAGTCAGGCTAATTCTTTGTTGTTTAGATATGTTTAGATCATGATCCAGTATTAGCACAATAAACACCGCTTGAAACACTTGATCACACCCGCCTTGACCACTCCACTCCGGTTTCCAGGTGAGCGATTTGGATGCGGAGTTGCGACGCGACATGCGCCAGATGGTGACCAAGGCGGCCGCAACGTCGCCGGGACGTCGGAACGGTCGGGTCGGACAGAACGGTTTGAAGCGGAAGTGAGTCAGTCACGAAAAGCGGTGTGAGTCAGTCTCCCATCAGTCAGTCGACACGGATCAGTTGCAGCATGTTGCAGCTGATTTGTTGGGTTTCTTGGGTAGTGCCTTGGGTTTCTTAGGCGTTTCCACTCGTTACTTGGGATTCTGTAGCGATGTAGTTGTTATTTGGGTAATCTCACCTGCAAATGGATCCCTTTTTGGCCAAACAAATAATAGCGTGAATGTAGGCGATGAAGGGATATATGTCAATATCAGGTGCTCGAAGCATCGCAAGCCAAGTTGTTGATCCAAATGGGTCACTGTCAAAGCTATGCGCATCTCTTCTTCAAACAGGCATCCAACTGCTTCTAGCTTTGGATGCTTTCTTCGAGCTCCGCCAGGTCCAATCGGACATGCTCTCCGAGTTCAAGACCCTCTTGAGCGCCACCCAAGAGGAGCGCCACCGCGTCGGACGCTATCACCCGGCGCCCTGAGAATTGGCTCAGAATGGAAAGAGGTTCCAGATGGTTCCGTTTTTTGTTTGTTGGTTTGAAGGTCATCCCCCAATACATCACTATATCATATCATGTATCAAAGTTACAGGGGAATTTTTGTTGAACATCATCCCCTAATTGCAGAGGTCGGTTTGAAGAGGTCGAAGACTTTATGGGTCTAGGTCTGGATGTGACCCAGCTTGTGCGCTCATGAACTCGTCTACCGAATGGGGTGAGTCGACCAGTGGGGTAGGTGTTAACGTTGTTGGCGCAAGGAGACTGGGCAATGTCTTGTTAAACCCAGCATCACTGTCCAGAATACTTGGGAGATGTGTTTAGCCAGATAGCTATATCTATCTATTATAGTCCTCCGCACAAAGAAAGTATCGATCTTCGGCACCCGGATGGATCGAAGCTTCTTGTGGCTCGTTTTTCAAGGGAAGATCACCATCCAGTATAGAGTGAACATCTGCAACAAGCTGGGATGGATTGAGTCTCAGTTGTCATCTAAGCGGTCTAAGCGCGTTGTTTTTCGCAACTGCTTCGAGTTCCTTCTGCTTCGACCCGTCTTTCAGGTCCAGCTGAGTCGTTTCCTCTTTGCCAGCTTTTTTCCTCTACGACCCCGACCTGGTCGACCTGGTCGCTCTTACTGGGCTGCCCATCTCCGAACCCCCGGGCCGAGGGGCTCCTTTGGTCGTCACCCACCACGTTGAACAAGGAGAAAAAGCCAGAAAACCACGACCATCATTCACCATTTGCCTGAAAACGAGGTCGCTTGTATACGCAATTCTACGCAATTCGACATATTGGATCATATTGGTAGAACCGACCTGTGGGTCAAAGTGTCCGAAACAAACACCTGCACCGACCGGTCGCTTCTGAGCCGCGGAAGAAAGAAACTCAAGTCGCGACAGGAGTTGGAGAACAAGCTGAAGGAGTGCCAGGCTTGCACCGTGAACGCTCCGTTCGCGCGGCCATAGCTGTGTCAGTTCACTGAGAGGGAGGTCCTTGCACGGATGTCCATCGGTTCAGCCCACTTCCATAGATGGGCCTTGGTTGGTTACCTCCAAATCACTTCACCAATAGGTACAACCCTGTACAACCAATAGGTATATGGTCTTTGGCCCCGACCCCTCTATTCTTCCCAAGGTCGCTGGAGTCCTGAAACACCTACAGCCCAGGTAGAAGTTGGATCAACACATATCAAGAACGGTTGTTGACCACATTTATGACAACACATATGGTATTTCATCCCTTTTCAGACCGAACATACCATCCACTGTCCTTGCTTTTTAGTGGAAAGCCCATGTTTCTCACGGTGCCCTTTCTCGGCTCACATACCCTCCGAAGCGCTCCGAGCCCGCTCGAAGCCGGCTAAGCAGGGGCTCTCGTGCGGTCGAGTGGTCGGAGCGAGGCCATCCAGCGTTCCACTGGACTGGTCAGGGGACTCAGTGCTCGAAGTGCTCGATGTCGGGGATGTCCCTCTGGTGGACCGGTGGGAGCTCAGCAGTGGGCGGAGCTCACCGGTGTGACGGACGAAATGAAGGAATGAGGCTCTTAGTTGCTATAGAAGCTACTAGCTACTAGCTACAAGCAGCTGGCAGCTGGATCCTTTCAGGACTCTCTACTTCGTCACGCCAGTTTGATTGGTGTGATTCCCCACGGGTCAGAGCGACCTCCATTTCTTGGATCAGTGCATGTGTCAGACTCCTTGAATAAAAACATACAGAAGTGGATGGCATGGCCTCGTGGCTGACCATGAAATCCGAAGACCAAACAGGTGGTTTTCACTCCACTTCCACGTGAGTGAACTCGGAGTGTAGTTCCTGGCTTTCACACCTCATTGGATATATCATAGGCGCATACTCAGTTTCATTTGAACGCCGAAATACTTTACATGGAGCCATATACTCATTTCATGTTCATTAAAGGCCCCAGAACGGACACATGTGCGATTTGTGTACGCCTCGCTTCGGCCACCTCGCTCGGCTCTCCAGGATTTGCTCGAGCAGCGCTTGAAGAAGATGGAAGACTCACGCTTGGAGTTGCGCCTCGGGAAGCGTCTCGGCATTGGAAGCTGGCCGGCCGCGTGGCTGAGGGAAGCAGGTCGCGTCCCTTTGGAAGCTTGACCGGCGTCCCCCCAAAAGAGATTTTTGGATCCTTTTGGAACAAAGGTGTAATTACCAACCTCATCTAACCTCTAAACAGATTAAGATGTACAGTATCCTCAGAGGACGCGTGTGGGTTTGCAGTGTCGCGGTGTCGCGTGTGAAGTTGGGATCGCCTGAGGTTGGAGTCGGCCGCCTTGAGAGCCTCCAACTACAGCGATGCAGGCGCCGGCTCCGTGGCCGACCCCGTGGAAAGCCGGAAGTCGGTGAGGCCTTGAAAGAGTGGCCTCAGCTTGAGAAAACTCTGGAAAAACATGGCTGCATATGGCTGCTTCACCCTGTATCCCCAGGGTATCCCCAGGGTTCAGGTATCCTTCAGGAAAAGATGTGTCTCGACCCTTCGGGGCAACACGAGGAGCAAGTCTCGACCCTTCAATGGTTGTGATCACCTGCCTATAGTAGTCTATAGTGGAGGGTAAGGTCCTTGTCCTTTGGTGACCTCCTGGACTCCCCCAGAGAGATGATTTTCACCACTGAAGAACCCGTGGATGGACATTCTTGAGCAAGGCTAAGACCATATGACATGCTGCATGCTGCATTCATTCCCAAAGACCATATAAAGTGCCATAGTTTTCGAGTCAGACCAGGCGACCAGGCTGGAAGGTCTTCTCAGACTTAGTGGATTCATGGCCATGTGATATCAATTTCTTGCGTAGACAAGCCATGTGACATTGTGTAGACAAACAGGCCTTTGCTGGATGGACCTGGGGCATTTCGGAAAATCTTCCAACCCAGGGCCTAGGGTCCATGTTCATCCACCACGTGCACTGTTTCTTGGAGTTCTCCTACACCGCCTCAAATGCCCAAACCGCAGTAGACTGAGGTTTTTGCAGGGTTTTTCCATGTGTTTCAGTCTTTTCCATTCTTTTCCTTTGTCACTTCAGTCTCACGGTGGTCCTTTTTCCCAAGCAAAGTCCGGAAGAACCCACGACTAACCACGATGCTTCAACGCAAAGCAAATCGCACCGGGCTCGCGCTCCAATCGCCGCGGCGGCGCATCAGGTGAGAGCACCCTGTTCACCAGCGTGGCTCGACGGCCCTTGGGCAGCGCCTTCAGTGCCTGGACCGAGCGAGCTCCGACGCGCCAGCTCCCGACGGGTGGAGTGGGGTCAGATCCGGAGGGTTCTGTCTTTTTGGGGGGGAGGTCTAGCTTGGAGACATACCAAGCAGATTGAGACACGGAGCGCGCACTTGCAGAAACCAGGCGCGCAAATCCAGTTTTTGACCCTCTGCGGACAAAAGATGGAGACATACCCGATAATTACGTCAAATTCAATCAAACTCATCCAAATTCCAAGTCGTTTGGTGTTGCTCGTGATGGTTAAAGGTGCACTTTTTGGAGGGAGGACTGCACCATATGTTCTGTATGTAGGTGTTCAGTTGTTTCATTTGGCTTTCAGTTGTTGCAGGACAGATGCCTGTCACACGTGTGGCCCGGTCACGTAAACGTGTCGTTGACGGGCTTGGCGCCCTCGTCCCTCGCTGAACCATGGTGCCTTCCCGGCTCCAAACGAAGCGCTGGACAAAGGGGAAGTCTGGACAAAGCTATGTTCACTCCAACACATCCACCACTTGGAACATGAAACCAGAGAGATATTTATTATTGAAGGATGTAAGAAAGGAACTGTATCAACATGAATCAACCGTTTCGTCCCAAGTGGAACCATGGGGTAACCCTCAAGGGATCATCTATCTCTCCTACTCCGTACGAGACGCGTTTGTTCCATGCACACCTTCAGGTGCTGACAACAAGAAGGTCATTACCGATGACACGATCGGCGCCGCTCGGCCAAAGGAAACCATGACCACCGAGGCCACCGTGTCGGGATGGCGGAAGAAGGTCTCCGAAGTCGGGTGGCGATCCGGAACGTCCCCGACTTCGGGCCGTCGCGGTTGGGAGGAGCGGCGAGCACGCGAAGTCGGTGGCTCAGTTGAACTCGTTCTGAGTCCGAAGGTTCGGTGGGACCACGGTCCAATGAAAACCCATGGTCAGATTCTAGACCATGAACCAATGGACCAGAACTCAGTGGTCATGAGTTCGTTCTAAGAAAACCATATGGGTATGGTTCGATCCTCTTCGAACCACAGGCGGTCAGGCGGTTGATCACACCCACTGACCGGACAACCGACCCTTCAGTGGCCCGGTGCGACCAGCGCGACCCGGCTGGTGTTTCTGTGGAGTAACAGGTGGTCACACGGGCTTCACACGGAGCAAAGGAAGGGCTTCACACGGAGAAGGCTTTCCACACGGAGAAGGGCCTTATTGCATGACATGAACTTATTTGGCTAGCCGCTGGTGTGTGTATGAACGGGTTCTTTGAGAAGAATCATGAAGAAACACGAATGAATCCAACTTCTAGTTGGGGTGTTATACAACGAACTGACAACACTCTCCAATCGAACGTGAGGATTTCTTGCCTGTCCATGTCCATGAGACTCACAGGAAGTAAAGCCATGAGACTTCAGACGGCAGAAACTGCAGACCTCCTAGCCACTGAGGACACTTCTCTCACCAGGCAGGGTCCTGTGAAGGGGGCATTCGTGGACCAGCCAGATGACAGTGGGTTTGGAAGCCTGACATGGTGATGTTTTGTGTTTGAAGCAACCTTTTCTTCGATTTGCATTGAACTTCACAGCTCATGTTTCTGATTGTTGACAACTGAATTCCTTGGCTTTGGTCTAACTAGGACCTTTCAGTTTTGGAGCCGTTGAAGAAGATAAACCTTTTCCCACAAAGGCGAAGGAACGTGTTTTCTGTTGGTGTCCGGACGGGTGAAGTAAAGCCCCATGTCATCATGCAGAAAATAAAGAAGATGTCCACCCACGCCTGACAGAATTGCACAGAAAGTCATGTTCAGCAACACATGATAGAACATTGATAGAACATGTCATGAGGAATCATATCATCCTGGCTTGAGAAATCTCCCTCGAACACCAGAGGAACATGTCATGGTACAATATGTTACATGTTCCACTCTTATCAATTCTGTCGCTCCTTTCCGGACACTAACGCTGCCTTTTCGCGCTCTATCTATCCGCATGCTTCCCATCCGCCGCCCTTACCTCGCTCCGCTCTGCTCGCGCTCGCTTACGCGCGCTTGGCTTCCCAGGGAGAGCCGCGAGGCTCGCCGAGAGCGATCGAACTTGGATCCCCAGTTGACCGAGATGCACCTCGGCCGGGCTTCACCGGAGGGTCCCCAGGTTCGGTCCCATGGGAGGGAAAGGCGTGGCGAAAGAGCGAAGGACGCGGAGAGAGGGCAGGGAGAGCACTCCCGGAGAGCACCCCGCGCGGACAGGGGCGGAGGAGGTTGTTTTTGGGGTGACGGAGACGGATGGAGTTGATGGAAGCTGGTGAGAAGTGATGGGTAGTTTTGGTGGGTGTGACGTGACTTGACGAAAAGGGGGAATAGTTTTGGATTGTAGGAATATGGGCGGACCAGCAAAGTTTTGACAGACATAGAAGGTCGTCCTGTACGAACCATTATATGCTGTAGGTGTTTGTCCATTGTTTGTCCATATTCGTTTGGGGGTGAATCACTCTCAGGCTGTGATTCTCTATTTGGCCCACAGGCCCACCTGAGTCCATTGGATAGACCAGGCAAGCTTGCCAGTTTTCGCATCAAACCGCGTTCCCATGTGAACTGAATGATGCCATGGCCATGGCCATGACAAGTCCTAATGACAAGTCCACTTGGAGGATCAGTGCTCCCCCCCCACCGCGTCGTCATCTCGCAGCGCGTCGTCGTCCGCACCGCGTCGTCATCGTCTCGCGCGTCATCGAGCGTCGTTTCGTCGAGGTTCAAGGCGCTAAGCATCTTTGGCCTCTTAGCACCGCAGGGAGAATGGTGAGAGGAGGGGATGGGGACGAGGTCACTGGAGGGGATGGGTATGGCTCGTCACTCCGATACATGCTAGTCCCTTAGCCTGGCAGCCTTGTTCAATGTGGGTTTGTTCTGCTCCGGTATTTGCAAAGCTGAAATCCAAGTTTGCCAAGATGTAACCACTACGTTTCTGGGACATTTGATTGCCCTAGGGCAATTGCACAGTCCGTCGTGCCCAAGTGACAAGAAGCAAACGGCCGGGCCGAACATGTCAGTTTTAATCAAAGAAAGATATGCTGCCACTGCAGCAGTACAGTAGTAGCTCAGTACACTCACCAAAAGAAAACAATGAGCGAAGCATGCGAAGCCTGAAAGTGATACACCGGCTTTCGATGTCAGAGGTTGACCACCCCAGATGTGTAAGGAGCTGGTTTTCCGAGTTCGAAACGGGAAGCCGACCAAGGCAAGTCTTCTGCAAAGACCCCAGGCGCCTGGGCGGGTGCCAGTCAGTGGGGACTGGACCGAGCAAGGGAGTGGAGTCGTTGGAGATGAAAAAAGTGGCAGAGGGCAGGACGAGGACTACAAAATCGGTGTGGCCAAAAGGAGCTATCCTCCATGACCATCAAGAGCCTTGTTTGCTGTTTGGAGACGGCCTCGTCTCCGGGACGGTGAACACATCTTCGGGTGGTTCTATGGTGATGCAGTCTAGCAGCTACTCAAGGACCCTGGCTGCCTAAGAACAGAAACAGGACCCTGGCAGTAAGTCATGGCACCAGGACACTGGTCGGTTCGACCTGGGAGGTCAAGCGACCCTGGTGGTGAAAGGGGCGAAGGAGACCAGCCATAGTCATCAGCAGTCAACATCAGTTGGTTTCGAGGGTGTTTGGTTCCAACCGACACAGACAGACAGACAGATGGAGTCTCCCCAAATGTTTGGATCGAGGGAACCTAAACCGGGAAAGTTGGATGATCAAAGGATATTAATGGATATTATTGGTTTCGCAATGTTTTATTGTTTTGTGTGTGTGTGTGTGTTTTTACATTGGGGTTTACTGTATATGTACTTGTGCTTGATGCAAACTCTTACAGGTGTGGTTTAATCATGTTTCAGAAATAAGAGCTTCAGTGCTTGAGTTGAAGCAGTAAACGCAGGGTGTGCATGTCCTTTTGCAACTGGGTGATGTTGAAACTGTTGTAGCCAGACCCGTATTACGTCATTCTAAAGCATAAAGCACGGAACAGTTCACAAACCAAGATGGAAAAGTTCCTATATAGTTGGAAACGCTTGATATGATATGACCAATCTTCCAACCCTCCTACAGTCCCTCCTACCATTCCCTTCCAGGACGCCCCCCACTTCCACCGGCCACCCCGGAACTGCCCTTCCACCGGTCGCGAACCTTCGACCGTTCGAGGCTCGACGCCGGTGGACGCCTTCAGCGGCCCGGCGCCGGTGGAGTTGGTCTCCGAGGACCTGAAGAACAGGCGCCGCCTGCGGCGCGGCTGCGTGTCGGCGCATGTCGACGCGGACGGAGGATGGTCACCCTGCCAAGAAAAGGCCCGGCCGGCGGCATCGTTCCCACGAGTTCCGGAGGGTTCGGAGACCCCGCCCCGTCCGCACGGACGACGAAAAAACCGGGCGTCGTTTTCGGGCCTGTGGAAACGGATTGATCGAGCCGGGTTGAGAGGTTGTCCGGTGAGTGGAGGTTGACCGGCTTTGGGGGGTCTTCAGGGGAGCTTGGGCTTAGGAGTTTTGGGATGGTTTGTCAGGATGGGTTTCAATGAGAGGAAGGTGCAAAACGAGGGTCTTAGGGTGTGATTTTGGGATGTTTCTGTTTGGGTGACCACCCTTTGTGTGTCCCAAGGAGGCTGCTGTTCTGAACAGAGCTCCTCCTTTTGGATAGGATCTCCTGAAGTCCGGTTTTGATGTGCTTTCCAAATCTTTCCAATCTATCGCCATTGGTCACCATCTTCCAGGTTTTGCTTTCATTATCTTTCAATTAGGATGGGCCATGATGGGCTCCAATCAGCAGTATATACTCCTCCCCAAAGAGTGAGGGAGCTCCTGGATCCCATCACCTTTCGGAGGTTGGAGAGCTTGGTGGAGCAAGTCAAAGAGACTTTGCCGCTTGGCTTCGCCGGATGGCTGAACCGTGGCTCCGCCAGTTTGGGCGTCGTGAGTCGTCTCGTCTCTCGTCTCTCTGGAAGGTCTGGACAGTCTGTTGGATCGTACTGGCGGATCATCCTGTCTGCGCTGTCTGGGTGTCCTGGCTAGACTCCCCTACCTTACTGACAGGTCTCCATTGGGGCACCGCTAGGTAGGCGCTAGGTAGGTGCTAGGCTATAGGTGTTTTGGGATACGGGATACAGCTTGTGTTTTGACTGAGAGGTTGGTATTGGAAAGAACCGTCCGCCTGATGGTTTTGTTTACGACAGTAAACATTCACCGACTCTGGCGACTTGGGGAACGTCATGATACGTCATGTGTGTAGATGAGGAACGATGAGGAACGTCACTGCACCCATTTTTGGTTCTGGATCCTCCAGAGATCTCAGAGTAGATCTTTTTCCAATATGAAAAGACAGATCAAATCATTCAAATCACTCCTCAGAGTCGTCAGAGTGGGTTCTGAAATGCGGCAGACTCTTCAAGCGCCTTCGCATCATACTGCCGTTCTCGGCCGCCAAGTTGGCGGCACGCACGGCGAGTTCTCGGCCGAACGCGCCCAGGAACTCCACACACATCGGATCCATCTTGGATTCCAAAGCGCCAGCATTGGACGATGGGAGCCTCGGGTCAGAACCAGTCCCACCGAATCGCCGTTGTGTGGCGATCGCCGCCTATTTCCGTTCGGAAGCGGCTTTTGGTTGAAGGAAGAAACAACAACTCACTACAGGCCGCCGTAGGACAGGCCGCGGTATCGTCACAACCAATCCCCCCCCAAATCCATCGACCTCGCCCGTCCTCGCCTCTTCGGTTCCGTGCCGTGCCGCGCGAGGAACTACGGCCTGGCCCCTGAGCCGCAAGACTTCGAATACGAAGCCCAAGGATACCAGGAGCGCTCCGCTTCGCCACCGGTGTTTTACTGGCGGGTTTGAGAGGTGGGGGAGCGATGGGACCGCGGAAGCCGAAGCCGGTGGCAGGGCGGTTGGTTTTTAGAAAGAAACACCCGGCGGTCCATCGGTCCAGGCCATTGAAACCGGAGGTGTCCACCCTGAATCATCTGAATCATTGGAGTTGTTGTTGGGTCCCCTTGTTGTGAGACTATCGACTCCTTGACCCCTGAAGAAAGGCCGATTCGGCGCTGGACTACCGCATGGGCCAGACCGCATGCTTTGTCTATGCTTTGTGGATGTTTGTCCTATAGTGAATCGATCATTCATGGTGGTTTCATGGTATTTCATGGTGGTTTCATGGCCAAGCTTGAACAATTCTTTGCAAAGTATCAGGCGCATTCACTGGGTGAAGCGCGTGTGTCTTACGGATGAAGAGACCGAACCACATGGTAGAGAACTGTTTGTTCCTTTTTCCGTGGTAACTTGGTAACACTTATATTACATAGTTAGTTTGGAGGCCATTGCTGTTAGGTTGGTGGCCATCGCTATTAGGTTGGAGGATGTTGGAGGCCATCGCTAGATATCGCTAGTAGTTTTTTCCAGGTGACCATGTTTGGAGTTTGGGGGTGTGCTCAGTGCTTTGCTTTGGCTGAAATGTCCTTAATTGTCATCCACTTATTTCATGGGTAGTGTACGAAAAACTGTTCCAGTGTTCTGTGGAGCCTGTTGCCAACTCGGGCGAAGAATTGTGTCCTAACCTTCGATATCCTTCCATCATGTCGTTCTTGCAAATGAATGTGGTCGAAACCATGATATCTATTCCTTGAATTCAGTCGATGAAGCGATTTGCCAACACTGTGTTTGGTGAACAACTAGGAAAGGTTCGAGAATTGGCTTTGAGGTCTGATCCAAGCAACATGTGTCGCAGAGTACCAGTCAACCACTTTGCCTGCCAAACGTTAGTGAGGATGATGGTGGATACGACTACATTCCCAACGGCCACGATGGCTATGTGCCCACCGGCCAGAATGTCTATGTGGCCAATGGCCATGATGGATATGTGCATGATGGGCAGGCGAGGGGCGAGCAGATGCCGGGGTCATTTTCAGTGGGCAGATACCATGTTGCATGTTTAGACCATAGGTATCACGGTATCAATGGCCCATTCAAAAGAACGGAAATGAAGTGGCAGGTCGACTACCCATGTTCAACCCCATGTTTTTGTTGCTCTCGCTCGCTTGACAAAGATGCTCCAATGAGCTCGATGTCAACAAGGAGCTTCAGAAAGCTACTAGTTCAAAGAAATCTCTTTGCCACGACTACTAGTTCAAAGAAAATGCCGGAGTCGACTCCATTGGTCGGCGTAACCGACCGGGCGATCTGCGGTCGGACGACGGACCGATGCGTTCGTTCACACGACCCCCCGACGGGTCACGCACCCAGCACCGCTGTTGGACCCTTGTGGGACAGCATGAGGAAGCACAGCATGTCCATTTAAGCCTGGATTTCAAGCAGCACCCGGGACCATCCGGAACCTAAATTTAATAGACCGTGTTTATCCGTTTTATGGGTGTTTCACTTGAGATCACCTGCTGATGGAACATGATAGAACTTATATAGAACTGATAGCATGGCTTTGAACAGCCAGGGAACATGGATTGAGATGCTTGCCTAATCGTCCAACCACTTGTCCATTCAATAGATGCGCCCTGTTGCCTTTGGTGCCACTACTTCTTTTACAAATCGATTGTTTTGATATGAATAGACATCGTTTTAAGATGTTGGCGAACACTTCCCACTGAACCCACTGAACTGGGGCATTTCTCGCGACCTGTAGGTGCCGTACGCGCCCGGCCCCTGCGAGATGCCACAGTTGGCATCGGCGCCCATGACACCGATAATGCCACCACAGAAGCTGGGCCGTGATGGGGAGACCCATGAGTTTTTGTCCAGATAGCGACAGCTATGGGGTTCTTACTTCAAAGAACAATGAGCTGGCTGTGCGCGCTATTTGGGGTCTACGCTGGTGTAATTTCCATGGAAGAATGGATGGATGGGCTCAGAAAGACAAGAGTCAGCAGCTTCCTAAAGCCCCTTTCTTGCAGGTTTGCTGACAACAGCAAGGTAAGAAATGTACTGGAGCAGCGAATGTCATCTGCTTCACCACACCAACACATTCCCCACTGCTGGACCTGTTCACCTCCAGGTTTGGACGCAAATTAAGGGTCGGTCAGATGTTGGTGTCACCGTCACCACTGTCACCACTCATTCAACTAAACGAGATAGGGGGTAGATGGGGGTAGCAAGCAGCTTTGGAAGTTCCCCCATCTTTGCACCTTTGCACCACCAGAGAATCCGGTGCTGCGTTCGTTCGGAGTTGATCGTTCTGCCGGTGCAGCCGGCCGGCAACGCGCGTCGCAACGCAACCAGCAACGCGCAGCAAGGAGTCCCTTGATGGTCCAGCCACTTCATCAGCTGGTGCCGCAGATGGCCCCAATGACACCGCAGCCACTGGGCTTTTGGAAATTATTGGGAAATTGAGCATGGTTGCCTCAAATAATTCATTGCATGTCAGCTATTCCAACATGTTCGTCCTTGGCGCATAAAGGAAGGAAGAAATTCGGCACGGTTGCCGAACTGTTTGTGTGGTAGCTGAATGAACACAGCAAGAGGTGTTGGCCCAGACGTGGCAGAACAGAGGTGGATGAGAAGCCGCAGGTATCCTTCGTTCTTGAAAACATCGAGCGATCATTGCAAAGATCCGGGGGTCCCACTGGCCTGGCCTGGCGTGATCAGACCAAGTCGCCTTAGCATCAAGAACAAGTCGCTATATAGTAAATGTTGTACAAAAGTAGATTTGACCCCGTGCAAAAGATCTGTGTGTGGAGGTGGTGCCTTTCCGAAACAACCCTTTGAATTGTCAACACATCTACAGCTGCCCTAACCCCAAAAGGCATCCTGTGATGATATGGCTGTTTATAGATTCGCCAAAAAGCATTAAGTTTCCAGGTTTGTTTCATGGTGAAAAGAAGGGGGGTCCCAGGAATACCAGCTCCTTTCCTGGATGCCATGCCAAGCATTGATGTTGCTCGCACAGCATGTCACGCACACTGCGAGGCCACATGCTCGAGACTTGGATGCACGAGGAGAGACCACGTGGACGATCGGAGACGACCTGCGTCGTCTTCGCCCCAGACAGGTCCCCAGACACGACACATGGACAGGACTTGCCGATCAGTTTTAGGGAGATCAATGGGGCGGCAGTCCTATGGCAATCCCATGGAGTGTATGGGGACCTGTCTGGGATTTGACGATGTACATCTAGGTCAACCACCCCAATGACCCCAGGAGTCCTGAAGCACCCCAATGTATGCGAGTGTGTGGTTGCGTTTGGAAACCGGAAGGACCTTCATGAAGACCTCTGTCTTTTGGTTCGCCCATTTTGAGGCGGTAGATCCAGGAGTTAGCTAGTACCCCAAACACTCCATGGGACTGGTTAAACCGCTCCATGGGACGAACCGAAGTTAGTGGCAGTCCCATGAGTCGTGTTGGTATGGAATCCAGTCCCAAGCCGCGGGCGGTGTTGAACACGTATTTTGTTGCATGGGTTTTTGACGTATCAGGATGTAGTATCACCCAGACACGACTAATGGGACTGCCATAGGACTGCCGATCAGGCCAGGGGTGGTTGACTGGGGGTCAATTGATTGGCATATATATGGCATACATGGAGTGTTTGGGTCAGGGTGATTCGCTGACAGACTCGAGTGCATCACTCCCCGCCTCGCAGGATATTCGGGTCGGTCTGGCAGTGATACCGCTTAAAAGCAGGACACGAAGAACTCCGTTTCGAGCAGTTCATCCTCCCAATCAAGCATTCAGTCAGGTGAAGTCTTCAGATTGGAGGGTCGTCAAAAGAAACAGACCTCTGGGCTTTGGGGGCTCCGAGCACGCTGCTGTTCATGTGTTTCACCGAGCGGCTCATGTAGCCGCTTTAAAGAGATCTTGTACACAAAAGAAGGTCCGGAGCCATTCGGTCCATTTCAGCCACAGAGCTTGTTCGTCGAACCCTATCTCGTTCGACTATCCCAGTTGGGTACCCCAAAAAAAGAGAGTGCGGATAGCCTGCCGGTCACTGGCTACCTCTCTTGGCAGCCTGGAGTCCGTTCTCCAGAGACCCCGAATAGGGTCTACCGGGTCGGGACATGAAGGGGGACGCGCTGGCGTGAATGGGGGGCGTCAATGGGGTCTGGGTGTGGGTTTGTTTAGGTCGTTTTGTTTGAACCCTTCCAGGGGGGGGTCTGAGGATCCTCAAGTCAGAGAATTTGGGTGTCTGCCATCCACAAGGTCACTGCCAGGAGATGACACTGGCTGTTGAAGTACTGCAGGTCTTGGTAACATCCAGGTTGAATAATTCAATAGGCAAAACAAGGAGCTTGGCGGCTTCGGTCCACTAGGAGACTTTGCTGAACAAGCTGATGCTCAGCTGGAACGCTTCATTGCTCCATCTTGATCCCCCTGAAGATCCTCCTTCGGCTACACTGCACTCAGCTCGTGTGCACCTCAGGCTACTGCGGAAGCATTGCTTTGCCCATCAGCCACCCGGAAAACCCACCGGAGCAGATGGCACCCGAGCATGCCTCCGAGTTCTGCCCCATGGCTGATCGCGACGACAACCGACCGGTCGGTTCGACCGGTCGGTCCCAACACATCCGATGTTTCATGCGGGGCGTTGACGGTGCAAACGACTCGATGAAGCACTTGGGTTGGCCATGACTTGAACCGTCAAAAGACGGATGTAGAGGGAAAGACATCCCCCAGAATAGGACTCCTTGGGATGATACATCAGATTCTGACAAAGATGTGCAGTGGACCAACGTCCATCTTAGGGGGACGCGACTAGGGCGCTAGCCGGATAGCTGGTTTTACTAGTTACTAGTTCGTGCATAGCCTTAGCTGGTTAGTTGGCTTTGCTGGTTACTCATATCTGCCTGGTTCAGGGAGCTGCGTTACAGCACTCCTGGTGTTTTTGAGTGCTGTCATTTTGCAGGCAACAATGCCACCCTACGGCGTGCTTTGGGTTGGGGAAATTTGTTGCGTGTGGTGGTTGGTTTGGTGCTCGAAGTTGTCCTGGCACCACCTACCAGAGCTTCTCCCATTCGCATGGCTAGTAAATGAGTGCGTGTTGGCATGCCTTGCTGCTTTGGGGGGTTGAAGCTACATCCCTTGTTGGCATGTGTAAGATCAGCTGCATCAGTCCTGTGAAGTGAAGAAAACACGACGTCGACCGTCGAAAGAGACGGAGACGGAAACCTCTGCGCTGCAACCTGAGACCTGAGACGAAGAAGCACAAAACAACACAAAACACAACACAACAGGACTTGACACTCCGTGTGACGTCTCCGTGTTTTGCTTTTGAGGTTTTTTTTGGTTCGTTCCGTTCGTGGAACACGATGGTGATCAACTGTTCGTTCATGTGACGGTCGACCCGGTGTCGGGGGGGGGTTCGTTCGGAACACGACAGTTCGCATCACTGATTTGTTCATCTGTGGAACATGATGGTTTGAATGGGTTAATGACCCATGGTTCCATTTCAGCCGAGATATGTTTTTAAAGTATGTGTCTCTCTCTCTCTCTCTCTCTCTTTCTTCCACTTAATACAATAACTCTAGCTACGTGAAATGGTGCACAGAGGATTCGTTTTATTTGCTCACGCAGGACCGAGGAGGAAACCAGTATCGATCAACAAAACCTCTGGTTACGTGTGTCAAGCCTAAATCACTAATCGAACATATATGTTCTAAATGTGGGAATTTTCGTGACCAACGCACACAAACAACTACCTCCAAAACCTCACGGTCACTAACCACACCGTGACCGTGTTTTCTGTTTGTTGTTTGCTGGTTGTTTGTTGTTTTTGTATCTTTTGTATGTTTTTGTTGTTTTTGCTGTGGTTGTTGTTGGTGTTGGTGTCGGTGCTGTTGTTGTTAGTGTTGTTGGCACATTTGTTTGTGTTGTTTCTTATATGTTAGATTTGACCTGCCATTTGCGTTCGCTCACCTGTCCAGTCGTTCCAATCTGGTTTTAGCATCACTCATCACCTCAATTCCTCCCAGCTTCGTCCCGGTCAATCCTCCATTTTCGGCCTCCCGGGGCGACGTGAACTTCGCCGCCCAGGCTACATGGGCAGCCTCGATGGTGAGAACTACACCGGCGCCGGCGGCTACGAGGTCTACGACGCCGCCGAGAGCTGCCCAGGCGCACCCACGTGACAGGTGGCCAAGAAGCCCTAGAGTCCCTCCCCAAAAAAGTGCAAAATCCCTTTAAAAGAAAGTTCAGAGTTGTTTTTCCCAAGTCAGTGGTGAAGTTTTAGGAAATTTGCCAAGAGCATCCAAGAGGATGGTCAACATTGTGATAATTGAGCCAGGTGAGAACCTTTTTGAAGGGCTATAACTCCTTGTCACAGGTCTTTACTTTCCACTTTTACATTGCTTTTTCGATCACCTCGGGCCATTGGGCTTTGGAAGAGTTTCAAAGGTCGCCATGTCGTCCAACAACTGTAGACAACACACCATTCAGAACTGGAAGGCGTCCAACACAAGCATCAATCCAGGCAAGCACTGTTTCTCCATAAAATGTATTCGGTGGGACCGAAGAGGGGGTTGAGTTGAGCAAATGCCAGCCGCTTCATTGGTTAAAAGACCCATACTACTTGTAGTTCTATACCAGACAAAAAAGGTGCTTCAGGTCAAACCTCTTCCCATGAGAGTTCTTCAGGTGACAAGGAACCAGAGTTCCAAGGATTTCCATGTTGGATCCATCTAGAGGCAGGTGGTCGTTGGGTTGTTGAGTTCGTTGTGGAGCCATTTGTCCCTCGGAGGCTACATCGATGTCCCTCAAGTGCCTTACACCGCTGTAAGCCGCTGGGACGGATGGAATTCTCAGGTCTCAGGAAGACTTAGCCCCTTACTTACTTCAGGAAGAGCTGCTCAAGATCTTTTTTTGGTAGGGGGGGATGAATTCGGATCGGGCTGGATTTGGTAGCAAGCAGATCAAATTGAAGGAACGACCGCAGAAGTGTTGTGGTTTACTGTCCTTTTTTGCAATCTTTGGCTCACAAGAGCAGGGGAGGAAGAGAAGAGAAGAGAAGAGAAACAGATCTAGAGTAGATAGATCTATGATCTAGACTACTTTCAAATCCAACAAACACTTTCAATTTTACAGATTACTTTCAGACTACAAACACCACCTTCAGACTTACAAATTTACAAACACTACCACTACCACCTTTACACTACCACTCCACCAAGACCCACTGTTTTTTTGCCTTCCTGCTGTTTGGCAGCCAGCATGGCACCCAAGAGGACCTGCTGGCATGCTTGAAAGATAAGAAAGGAATAGAAAAGAAAATGAAAGAACGTAAAAGGAAAGGAAAGAACAATAAAAGAGGAAAGTAAAGAAAAGACACACTCCTGCCAGCTCAGGGCGCCCCAACCTTTACCAAGTGGGTGCCCGAAGTGTCACCAATGGACCACAAGGTCAGGAGCACCCACCCCACACACAGAACCTAACAACAGAGGTGGCAATTGGAGCCCTGGCTGGGACAGAGAGGGAGAGATAAGAGAGAAGAGAAGAGAAGAGAGGAGAAGAGAAGAGAAGAGAAGAGAAGAGAGGAGAAGAGAGGAGAAGAGAGGAGAGGAGAGGAGAGGAAAGGAGAGGAGAGGAGATGGTTGTTTGGGGGTTCTTGTCTACACGTTGCGATCATTTATGCCATCGTTTGAACAGGATTTGTATGTTTGAAGTATTCTAATTGGGGTTGTGATTCTTTGTTGTTGTTGTGGTTGTCGTTGTAGTTGTTTATTCTATTTTTTTGTAGTTGTAGTCATGGTTGTTCGGTCTGATTATTTTTGGTGTCGTGTGTGTAGTATGTGTCGGAGTAGTAGTAGTAGTCGTAGTCGTAGTCGTAGTAGTAGTAGTAGTAGTAGTAGTCGTCGTCGTCGTCGTCGTCGTGGTAGTGGTAGCTGGTAGCTGGTAGCTGGTAGTAGTAGTAGTAGTAGTCGTAGTGGTAGTGGTAGTGGTAGTGGTAGTGGTAGTGGTAGTGGTAGTGGTAGTGGTAGTAGTGGTAGTGGTGGTAGTAGTGGTTGTAGTAGTAGTGGTAGTAGTAGTAGTAGTAGTTGTAGTTGTAGTTGTAGTAGTTGTATTAGTAGTAGTGGTGGTAGTAGTAGTAGCAGTAGTAGTAGTGGTAGTGGTGGTAGTAGTAGTAGTAGGTGGTAGTGGTGGTAGTAGTAGTAGTGATAGTATAGTTGTAGTAGTGGTGGTGGTAGTAGTAGTAGTAGTGGTGGTAGTGGTGGTGGTGGTAGTAGTAGTAGTAGTGGTAGTAGTAGTAGTAGTGGTGGTAGCAGTAGCAATAATAGTGGTTTTGCAGTCCGTTGTATGCTATTCTCGAAATTGACAGCAGTCAGATAGGAAATGGCAAGGCACTGACTGAGTAGGTTTAATTTTGTAGTGGCGTCAGGCAAGTAAGCAAGAGGGAATCCAGTTGAATTTGCGGAAGTTGGCTCTTCTTAGGGACCTGTTCCATCACTACCAATAGCGCGACTTGCGAATCTGTCCAAGCCACAGCTCTTGTTGAACAGTGGAACTTGCCATCAACCACGCCTCGTCAGCCATCACTCCAACTGAGCTCCATCAAAAATTGCCTTCAGTTCACTATCCAAAGGAACCTCCCACTTCACCGCAAGATCAACATTCGTCCTCAAGGGGGCTCTGCTGAAGCGATCTCGCAAAAAATTGTCCACCCTTATGGCCAGCAGCGAGGGCCAACAAACAAGTACTCCGGGCATTTTTCGGAAAATATTGCAATGAGTCAACGTAACCTCACCACGGCCAACCTCAACCCCCAAAGTAGTGAAAACACCAAAACAGGCACGCCTAAACACAGATCTGATGCGCCAGAGTGCCGCGGAAGTACTCAACCAAGAGCAAGTCAGGGTCCACCCATTTCCTAGAAACAGGGTCCTCAACCGGATCCATCGCTACTAGTACCAATAGGATGTGCTGATGTGCTGTGTGCAACACGTGTTTCCAAAATATTTGGGGGGGTTGGGGCATTTGCTCCAAATCATGCGCCCAGATTTCATGCATTTTTACCGTCCACTTTTGTTCGACATCACGCAAAGTCGGGTCCAGTTTTGCACCAAATCACCCAGCTTAGGTGAGACCAGAACGGTCCAACAGGTCAACCATCGAACGGTCTTCGAGTGGGAATTGCAGACGTGGACGGCCACCCAAATCCGAGTCAACTTGATAGCGCTCCAAGCCTTGGGATGAGAAAAACACGTTCCCAAACCAACAGTGTTCTTCCAAACAAGATCTTATTCCCAAAATCTTACCCCCCAGCCAAAAGCCGAAACCGCCGGAAACTCCCAACCAAACCTTGAAACGCACATGTTTCCGCGTGCCCCGCGTGACCTGTTGGTTTCGAACACACCCAGCCCGCGGGTGTCCGGATGTTGTTCTCGCCAGTGCAAGCACTGGCGGGTCCAGCCCGCCCGCGACCGACCGCGTACCGACCGCGTTTCGCGTTTCGGTCCCCGAGGCTATGGTCCTCCGCAAGTCGTCGGCCACGGGACGCCAGTGATCCACTCCGTCACCATGAGGCGGCTCCGCGAGCTCGTTCGGCGGGCGCCGGAAGTGGCCGTTGGAGAGCGAGGACGAGAGTTGGAGCGGCGGAGGTGTTTAGAGGAAATGGGTTGCTATGTGCTGTTTTTCGGGGGTGAGATGTGATGCTTTTAATGGTGAGATTTAGTTTGCGATGTTTGCGTATGTTTAGGTGGTTTGATCTACCATATTTTGTTTAGCTTGGGATGATGATGTGTGAGTAGGTTTTTGCTAAGCACTAAGCATTGTCAACTGTATAAGGTTTTTTTGGTCCGTGTTTTGGGTTGCCCAAAGTACAGTACCTTTTGCAGACAGTTGTTTTTTTAGTTTCATCCAAAGTGATTCAAGGTACAATGATATGGTGTCCATAACAGCATCACCATGTGCACATATTCTAAGTTATTCAAGCACATGTTTCAGAATTGATGTTCATTCCACATGAAACACCTGAATCAGGGAAAACTCGTGTCATGGTGATTTGATCCGCGTGGTACAGGTAAACATGTTCCACTCAAGTGGAAATTCCCTCAAAATGATCAGGTTTTCTACTTTGACTCGACCCGTTTTTGGTTTGTTCAGGTGAACTGGAGTTTTCCAGAAGTTTTCCCGAGAAAAAGCACTCAACGAAACCTCGGTTCTTGACTTGGACCTGGACATCAACTGAAACAGGCGAACTGGGGTCAGTTCAGAACGGGTTCCTTTCCAATCGATTCTAATCAATAGACCTCCCAAGGGTTAGCAGAGGTGCTATGCCGTTGTGTCATGCCGCTGCGTCCAATGCGGACATCCTCTCCTCCCCAAATCCATCCGTTCTCCAAACGAAAAAAAAGGGGCATGGATGTCATGGATGTCCAGCCAACATGATCCTTTTCGCCATTTTGGACTAAAAATCCATGACCCCAACGGATCATAACAGATCAGACGCCAACCCCTCCGGTCGTTGCCCCACCCGCCCGCAGGGTGGGCCGGACCGTGTCCCCCGTGCGGGAGCAGTCGCCGGTGCGGGGACGAGGCGCGCGGCGGACGGAGCGCGGATGCGGACGGATGGACACGCGGACGGGCGACATGAGTGAAGCACAGCACCAAGATCCACTCAGGTATACTGTTTCAGAGCTGATGATGATGATGATGTTACACACATGTGTCAAACATGTTTTTTTTTTTTTCCGACCGCATGCTGGGCTCCGGGCGCTGCGAAACTTGCAAGTTTGACATGTTTCAAACATCTGAAAAAAAAAAACAGTAAGATTTGATGTGTCACCGTTTGAAGGTTCAGAGGTTCCTCCTGTATTGATGATGCCTGAAGTCTGTGCCCCTGTGGTGCATACAAAACGCAGTATATATTGTAAAATGCAATGACTATGGATGTATAGACTATGTAGATGTGGTGTAGTTTGACATGTCCAACTTCAGGCAATGCAGAGTTGTCTTTCTTCAATGGGTATGTACTGTAGTGTAGCAAGAGGTGAATAAGGATTTACAGTATGAGTTGCATCCGCATGAAATATGGCTTGAGGAGAAGTTTGCTTCAGGCAACAATGTATCTAAATGTCATGATCATGTCGCAGGACCTGTGGCTAACAACAGTGTAGTTTGCACCACTCAGCTCATCTTAGCGGCCTTAAAATAGCCAGAACAACAGTATATTTGCCAGCTTCTTGTGGCAAACGACTCGTGTCTTGGGTCAATGAGACCAGTCCAGGCGCCTCCCCCGTGCGCGGCGCCTCGCCCGTGCGAGCGGTGCCGGTGGTGGCTGCACATCCCAGGCATGGTTGGTGTGGCAAACGGTTGGGGAGAAGTGCGTTCTGTGGATCCAAAACCACAGACGAGCATGCCGAGCTGCGAAATCCAAACTGAAAACTGTTTGGGGGGTCCAGTCAAGGAACGGTTCTAGAAACCAAGCGACGAGCGTGGTGACGAGTGCGCACCACTTGAGGCGGCCAAGAGTCTAGCCACCCCAAAGCAGATTGAATACCCTAGAAGTCCAAAAACTGTATTTGGACCGGCTGAAGTAAAGGAAATTCCCTTTCAGGTCCCCTAGTCAGATCATTAATTCTGTTTATAGTCTTTGACTCCGGGAATAGACATGGATATGCACCTGCAAATCATGTTTGGTAAATCGTGGCAATAGTTTGGGACATGCTAAAGCCCACCAATCACATTCCATGTTGCAACCTATAGTCCAATTACAAACAACTTCCTCAAGGTAGAAGACAGAAGCCTCAATGGACAAGTCAGTCCCAGAAATGAACGGGTTGACACAGGGCTGACACCAGACTTATTTCAGTTTTGTGTGCATGAGCAACACTTTGCACACAAATCATCACAAATCATGATTGTGCTTGGTCCGCTTGGTTCTTACGGGTTGTATTGCGGAACATCGTTTTCCAGTCTGGTCCATGCCGGTCGCCCGGTTCCGCAGATCCCGTGGCCCCCGATTTGGATGTGGGGGTCAGGATCCTCATCTTGGAACACACGAACTCTTCGGCTGATGTTGGAACAGGGGGGTCTCTTGCCGTTGGATCACCGGGGCCGAAGGCACGGACCGGGAGCCAGGAGGTGGCGCCCAACCCATGCATGCGGCATCCTGGGGTCCTTCCTTCGCCCTTCCTCGCTGGGTCGTCTCTCCTCCAAGGTCCCCAGCCGGTCCTTCTTCGCCCCGCTTTTCGGTCCCAGGCATCGAGAGCTGTCGCCGTCTCTCCGCATGCGCAGCACGGGAGAGCCGGTCGAGTCACTATGTTCTTGGACGTGGTGGTGGTCGGTGTGGGGACACTGAAAACGGTATAGGTCCATGTTTTGAGGACACATCTCATTGAGTCCACATATACCAGTCCTCTCAGAGTCCATGATGTTTTGTGCAGAGTCCATCTTACAAGGACACATCTCATTGAATCCATATGAGAGCTCAGAATGCACAATGATCACACACCCACGCACACAATCGGACAAACATCATACAAGGTCATGCGCCTGTAGAGCTTTAGATTGACCAACAGTTACTGTCAAACTGCTTTGATTGCTGGTCAAAAGAGGATAGGTATCACACCAAAATTAATGCTATGCTAAGCGCATAAGCATCAAAAAAGAAACTACTGTATCTTTGTTGATCCCTCACCCTGTCAAAAAGATGCTCGTTGCTGGGCGCCAATCATGTGGGTCCTGGACTGGGGCGCCTCAAACGACACCGGAGCTCAAACGGCGCCAGGAGATCCTCCCGCCTTCAGCTTCGGGCAAACCGGCCGCTGGGAACAATTTGTTGGGAATCGCACTGCTGAGACCCGTCGGCGATGACTGCAACATACTGCAACAGTCCGTCAGGAAGACCTGGACTGGCCCCGAAAGTAAAGAAAACTGATGCAACATGATGTAACATTACATAATAGAACAGCAAGAGAAAAGTGAAACAAAAATAAAAAGAACATTATGGCGAACACGCCGACTGTCGTCTCGCCTTTTCGAAGGCTGTTCGAAAAGAATTCTGCTGGAGGCCCCCTACAGCTGGGCTTGGGGGGCCACAGCAGCTGGGACGAGGTGTTCATCTTGACGAGGTCGGCGAAGACCTGTGCAATACCCAGACACTCCATGTATGCCATATATGCCTACATTGGGGGGGTCAATGTAGGCAATATATGGCAGTCCCATGGAGTGTTTGGGATATGCAGGACGTCATGAGGACGGTGGTTGCAATGTCACGGGCAGAGGGGCTCAGCCCTGCCGCTTCAGCCTTGCCGCGAGCTAGAGTCGCTATAGAGCATGGCCTTGAAAGACATGGCCAGGTGGCTTGCAGATGATTTGTTGCGCACTGTTGCGCTGCTGCACCCTGGGCGAACATGTCGGTTGAGCTTCATTTGGCGCAGGGAGAGCTGAACGTGAGCTAATTACCTGTGGGAGAGTTCAGAATTCTCCATTCCACAGGAGAGCACTGTTGTTGGTGAGACTGATACTGTAAGCAGTGCCTATGGCAGGGCCTGTTGCCAGCCCACCTGTCAGATACTATACACAAAAGATCCAGACCACCCGATGCCCAGTCGTGCCAGGGTATCAAAGGCGAGTTCACCAATGGTCCATACTTTACTCTCCATGGTTACGTGGAAAACCCCCTGTTTGTAGAGGAAAATGGTCTCCAAGGGGCGATGCTCCACGTAACCATGTTAGCTCCAAGCAGTGTAGATGAGTGTATATAGGTGTTTTTATATTTTTGTGAGACGGTTGATACCCTTCTGGCATAGAAATGCATTCAATGTAACATCATGAAACCACAAAACATCAAAACACCCTTTAAAGTTATTCGGCCGTGTCAAGTGCAGGAGTTCATGCACTCGTAGTCACTATAGTATCTTGCTTTCAGAATGCCTTCAGCGACCTAGGCATCACCATGAGCCCTTTGCCGGCGAACCTGAGTGCAGGCCGACGCGATGATCGCCTTTTCCTCGTGTTCTGCGAGAAAATGTATACCGGCCGTGTTGGGCATGGCAGACCTGGCCGTGTTTTTCGGTGGTCTCGCCGTACCAACAACGACGCCTCCCGCCCATCCAAACCTCCAGACCGCGGAACGACCGGAGCAGCGCTCCCAACACCCCGGAGCGGAAGCGGAAGCGGGTTCACCGAGTCGACCGAGTCGACGTCAGGAGCTGGCAGCGTGCCAGTTGGACTTCCGTCACTTACCCAGGGGGTCGAGTTGTGGAGGGACTGGCGGAGTTGGCGGTGTTTAAGGGAAAACATCTCCTGCAATAATGTCTATGCTTTTCATAGTTAATTAATCCTGGTTTATGTTGATTCCTATTGATTGACCTTTTAAATTCCCTTTGATTCCTATTCCCTAGGGCTCCAAGTACCTCCTCAGAAGGTATTTGGACCCTCCAAACCGACCCCAAACACCTTGTCAGAAGGTACTTGGAGCCCTAGGGATTGATTATAGGATCTATGTTGATTCTCGTTGAAAGAATAGTTATCTGTTTCTTTACGATCTTCTTACTTTTGTTTTCTTACAACCTGTCCTTTCCCAAGGCGTCCCAGTCCACCAAATTCCACAACAATTGTGTATATGAAATCCTTTGTTAAAGTCTATCCGAAAAACAATCAATTGCACAAAGGGAGCAGCTCAGTGAAGCCCGTTCAAGTGAAGAACTTCCGCTCCAAATTCAACTCATCCCCTCGACTCAGGCAAGCAGTCACGAGAGTCAAGGAGGATCCCCCAAGGGATGAGGATGAGGACTGCGTCTTTTTTCCAGAACGAATGGTTCTCCAAGTTGGGCCCTGCTTGATTTCCGAGAGAAGTCTCCATTTTGGATGTTTCTTGAATGTTGTAGAGCAAAAGGACGAAACAATACAATAAATAATATAGAGACAATTGAGACATTATGAACAATGCATATAAAGATGCATATTAGATATGATGAAACAATGACAAATGCATGTAGTTATGCGATTCTTCTTCAACCTTGTTGTTTTTCCCTGCGAAAAAGACATGGGAAAATCCGGTCCCGCACCGAGCTGTTTTCGAAGGAGAGTGAGGCCTCGGACGAGGAACAGGAGAAACCCGGCCTCTTCGGCCAGCTGCTGCTCGGATGTCGATGCCGGACGCGACACCGGGTGCCGACGCGACGCGGGGCAACGCGACGCGCGGTGCATCAGGCGTTGACCCCAAGTCAAGTGGTGTCGCGGTGGAAGTTCTTCACAAAACCAGAGAGAGAGAGAGGTGTTCATTTTGAGGGGTGCATGTCTCAATCTTCATCTTGGTCAAGAGGTGTTCTTTGAGAGTCGGGTCCCGACACCGCCAGGCGGCTCTTTTTTTGTTTTGTTGGACCCCTGACCATCCCCTAACCATGCATTTTAAAGCGGGGGGATGGTGGAACACCGTAATACAAACCTTTGTTGCTAGGCTTACGAAGTTGGGGCGCACCAAGTCCCAATCTTTCAACATGGGGGTCACCAAGTCCCAAGTCTGGACTGCAAGAATACTTCATTTTCACAGCAGTGAACAGGGAATCATGTTCACACAGAGCAACCTCAGGAGTCGTGGACCGAAGAAACACACACTTTCTTTCGACATCGAGCGCTGCAACGTTCGAAGGGGTGGGCCGAGGTTCCGTGGTGGCAAATAGTGACCGCGGCGAGGTGTTCATCGTTCATTGTTTGGTCATTTCTGCATGGAATCAAGAGATCTCAAGAGACACATTCCGAAATGCGACTGACCGATTGGTTTCATCCAAATTAACAAAATGTTCATCACATATTGCTATATTTTGCGTTATTTTGCATATATACAGTTTATTATTAATATGTGTAGATTGAATTATCAATATTACTATAATGTCAGGAATTTTATTTTGTTATATATATATGTTGTAATTGAATATATTAAAATAATATGGATAAATGAATTTGAATGAATTTAATTATATAGAAAAGGATTTATGTATTAATGAATATAATTGAAATATGTTGTATTGTTATAATATGATTGATGATTTTGTTGATTTTGGAATAGAATCTAGATTGGGGTTTATTTTGATAAAGAAATATGATTAATAGATAGATGTTAAATATGTTGTTTATATATGTTTTTTTAAATCTTAATTATGTGTTTTTAAATTATGAAAGTGTTGTATTTATGAATTCTAAATTTTTAGTTTTATTGGTTTTTATATGGTATAATCGTGTTTTCGGATACTATGATATATTTTATTATATATTATAATATTTTCTCGCTTATATTGGAATATGGATGTTTCGGAGAATATTATTGATTATCGAGATGCAAAAGGAATGAGCGGTTAAAATGCATCGAAATAAAATTGGTTAAGGTGATTTGATTTTATTGGCGGTAACGGGTATCGAAATTCTTGGTAGATTTGGAATTAAGGTGCTAGCTATATTATTTAAACCTCTTTGTAGAAGGTTGGGGTCGGATTGATGGGACGGTTGTTAGCACAAAGCAACCTATTGCCGGAATTGAAAAGCATTATTTGGTAATATCTTGATGTCGATATGGAATTTTTGTGGATGATTCCTGCAATCTTTTGAAATTCATGTTAATAATTGTGGTTTATACCGTCAAACACCGGTAGCAGGACATGATTATATTCCCAAATTATTGCATGGTTATGGCGGATGTGCAATGCCGGATATCTTTCCAGCTGGAGGCATACAAAGGAATTCTGAGACCTTAAGACATGAAGAAAAGGTTCCTGCCTGTGCCACAGCCGAATCACGTGTTGGAGTGTGGTATCGGCCTCAAGGAAGCGTGCGGAGAACAATCGGCGAAATCAAGAATCTATTGGCTTCTGTCGGCGAAATCAAGGATCTATTGGCTTCTGTGCTTGAGGTTAGGCGTGCGTCCCATGCATGACGAGTCATCCGGTGGTCTGGCATGAGATCTTTTTCACCCATCTGGCCCCGTAACCATCTAGCAAATTCACCTGCAAACCATGCACGAAGGTGGTCGGCTAAACATGAACTGCTATATGGAAAAACAGCCTCCCCTGCATGAGTTGAAAACATGCTCAAAACTGGCTGGGTCTATATTCCCCAAAGGTCAGGTCGGAGAACCGAGATTATGATGCTGGTCCAAATTTGGGCTTGCAGGACGGAATTGATGTAGCACGAATTTCCATCATTGAGCTAGCGGGTGGTCATGAGGCCTCTCATGACTTGCGAAATCGTTTGGAAATAGCTGTGGCCAATGGTGATCTCTGCAGGTTGGATTGCCTCATCCTTATCAGCACAAGCTGAGTGATGCCGTTTCCGGCTAGTTTCAACAGCAGTGTGTGAAGTTCCAAGGCCTCCGGTCCACGAAGGCTGATATCCAGTCGCCACGGTATGGCGACAGCCATGTCCTGTGGAAGGCTGTCCTGCTTCAGAGTTCGAAGAGCCGCAAACTTTAGGATCAGTGCCGGATTCTGGCCCAGCTGGTGAATCCGTTGCAAAGTGGCACAGATTTCCTCCGAGGTCAGTGGAGTCTTCTGATTCGGTTGAAGTGTTTTGGCCTCGGAGTTCCAGGTGAGGTAATGCCATTTGTTGTCCTCGGAGAGGATGCCTTTGGCTTTTAACCCCATGACCAGGGCATCGTCCTTCTGGGTTAGTTGCAACTTGCTGGCTCGGTTGATCAATTCCTGAAAAGCTGTTAGGAACATGGTCTGTCTGAGCGAGGTCAAGGCATCTCCATTTTGTTGGCATCACCGATCCTCTGCCGCATTGAAGGAACATCATCAGGCTGCTGTCCAGGCCTATCTGGTTCAAAGTATCCTCTTGTCGTAGGGTCAAACGGGCCACCATTAGGAACAGATCGTGATCTCGGCCATCCGAGGTGCTGGCAGAGGAATTGGCAACTAAATGAATGAATGAATTATAATATGATATTTAAATATTTGAAATTAGGGAAGGAAGGCTTAAAATTGTAGGTTTCGATGGGATATTTAAAGGGTTTTATATTATTTTTAGATTTTACGAGAGGATAGATTGAAGATATTTTAAAAAACAAATTAAATTTTAGACTATATTAAATTTGTCATTTTATAGTTATATTTTGAATATTAATGATTATTTTATAAAAGATGATCTTTAATTATTCTATGCAGGATTTATAAATGATATTTATACAGGAATTATAGTATAATGATATTATTATGGTCGTAGGATATCTAATTAAGAATCATTATTTATATATCTATTCCATATTCTTTTATAATTTCCGATGACCATTAATGATTATATTATTTTTGTAGTTCCACATGCGTTCGGTTCGGAATTTTAGATTTTTGAATCAACAATGTAAGTTCTCAATCTTTCTTCGGAAATTTTATAGTGTTTTATTATGGTACAAAGATGAAAAATTTGAGATGAGCGGAGCGAGGGAGGGAGGGAGGCTCAAAATTGAAAGCTCTGATGGGATTTCTAAAGGGGTTTAGACTAATTTTAGACCCCCCGAGAGGACAGGTTGGGATTTTTTAAATATATCGATCCAGACGAATACCTCCACCTGTACGAATATCTATACGACAAAAATATCGATAAAATCATAACATTGATCCACAATCTGCACACATACATTAGCATCAACACCTGCAAAAACCAAAATGCCGATCCATTATATATATGAATATAAATATCAATAATATTTACAAAATAGAATATCAAATCAGAATGAAGATCTATACCATTACGACAGATATAGAATCATATTATTGAGAAGCAAAATATTTGAAATCTATAATTATCTTTGAACAATATCGATCATTTAATAAATATATTTTCTCATAAATAATGCGATTGGAATATTCCAACGATATTCCTGAATGTTCAACCGATTATTCTTAAATTTGACTGAATATCCTTGGCAATCTAAATATTTATTTATCATCGCCTATTTCATGCATAATTAATTATAAATATTCTTGAATTTCATTATTATATTCCTAATTATTATAAAAAAATATCCTTTGGATTGCAAAATTTACCATGCACGGCTGTCTAATCCGTCTGTATCAATCAAATAGATTTAATTCCTTCAAGAAATCATTCCAAAAATTGTTATCGTGCCTTTTTAGCCAAGCCCGGCGCCGGCGCCAATATGCTTTCAAAATTGAATCTTATAATATATTTTATCATAACATAGATTTTCTTTAATTAATGATAAAGATTCAATGATCTCAAAATATAATATCTTTTTATCTCTTTCTACGATCTCTGCAGGATTATTCTCCGCAATATTTTCTATAATTAATATTTCAATTATTCTTGGCGGAATATAAAAACTATATTCTGGGAATACGAAGATATCAAATGGCGGCGGTATTAATATTACGCCAAAAATAATCTATTAATTGTTTCGATTAATTATCGAATATTTCATTATTTTTAATCATTTTTTTTGAATTTTTCTATATTTATATATATATATTATTTCTTAAATTAGAAGATAGAAAGACCATTAATGACGGCATATTTTCCGAAGAAGGCATCTTAGGATGCAACATATTTTCAATTCTATATAGATAGCATTGAATTTATTTTTGATATCAATTTTTCAAATTATAATATATTTAATTTAATAAATTATGTAAAAAATAAACTAATTCAATATTTATTCTTAATTTAATATTAATTCAAATTATTTAATTTAATAATTATTTAATATATTTATTTTTAATAAATTGGATGTATTTGGTTGCAATGAATCATCATTATATATTATTAAATAGATTCAATATATATTTTCGATATCCAAGAAAATATTAATATATATATAATATCTTCTATATATCTTCTTCCTATATATTTTTCAAGGCAAATATTTGATAGGCGGCACGCCGTTGTCTTGCAAGAATGCCAATCATATTTAAGAAACAATAAAATATGTCAGAAAGAATACCGAATAAATATTTCAATATAGAATTTAATATTTCAATATTTTATATATTGGAAGGATTTTTCGATATAATTTAATATATCATAAACGCCATTTCAGCCTCGAGTTCCGGCAGCCATTTCCTTGTAGCTATTCACGCCATTTCTCCTTGCCTGTGCATTGGATATCTTGGCTACCACACCATAGATGATTATTTTCCCTTGGCTGCACCTCCTTTTGACAAGTCTGAGGCTGACTTCCCTGATCCCAAGTCCAGGGCCCATGGATGCCAATGCTCCGCCTTTCATCCCGAGCAGGACCATGGGTGGCGTGAGGGTTGTCCGGGACTAGTGGAGATCCATTCTTTACTCCATCGAAGTGCTTCTCCACGAAGCCTTCAGAGGTATGGGCCAGAGGAAGCTACGGCCTTGTTGTCTCTCGGCCGTGCATCGTTCAGATCAAAAGATCATACAAGAGAGCCTGCTTCCGAGCCTTGCAACATGGCTACACGCCTTACCGCAAAGGCTACCTTTTTGCTACAGATGTGCCCTGGCGCCTCAGAGAGGCCTATCGACGCCACGCACATGAAAAGGTGAAGCAGCGGACACCCCAAACGACTCCTGGCATTCGCTGCATGACCTGGAATGCATCGAAATCCTTGGTGCGCGACGAGTTTTTGGCATTGGTGTGCTTCTCAGCCCCTGGACATCATAGCCTTGCAGGAAATTGGATGGAATTTCAATGCCACCTGGACGTCCCAGGGATGGCATTGTACTCACTCCTCGACGAAGCACGCATCCATTCTGGTGCTCATCCGAAATACCCTGGCAAGACCTGAACAGATAGCTACGGCCTCGCATTCAGATGGCCGATTTCTGCAGATTCGTCTTTTTCTGGATTGCACGTATAATTTCATCGTTGTTTATCAACATGCCTGGAATGCTACCAAGGGCAGAGAACAGCTATTCGACAATCATACCAAAATTTGGAATAATTTGCAACAACTTTTGAATCATATTCCGCAACAACACCAGATGGTCTTGATGGATGATTTTAATACCACCCTCAGGTTCGATCCGCCACACATACAAAGTCAAGATGAACGTGCATCCTCCAGCACTCATACAGATCGTGACCTTCTGCAGCAATTGACGAGAGTACAGGACCTGATAGCTCTGTATTGCAAACACCAATATGCATCGACCTTCGAATATGGTTCACATCATTCTCGTATTGATTATGTTTTTGTCAGACAACATCAGGTCAATTTCGACGTATGCATCCCACCATGGATAGGAATTTTATGCGAAATTTTGGTTGTCTTGGACCTCACCATCATCCATTGTTCTTTGTCCTGCCCAGGTGGTTTGCGCCTCGGAAACCAGTGCTTCCACTTAATAATATTGATCGATTCGCCATTCGCACGGCTAGACTAGAGCACACTCCTCACTGGCAGCTGTTCGAGGTCCAGATTCGTCAGTACATAGCCAGACATTCTCCACCTCACCCCCCAATTGAGGTCTCCATGCTCGCTTTGGAACAAGAACTACGAACCATATGTTATCTTTTCTTTCCCAAACGGAAATCACGGGTACCTCATGTTCCGCATATCCCCTCCATGGCTGCCAGGATGTGGACTGCCCGAAAACAGGCTCTGGCCGTTCGAGGACGCACCACCCGCGATCTCTTTGAGTATTGGGCTCATGTCACCACCTTCAACACACTTCACAAAGCCATTCGTAAGCAGAATAGACAGAACAAACGTGATAAATTGCATACGATCCTGGCTGAGTGTGTTGATCTAGCCCTTCATGGACGCATTTTTGATTGGTACCGGAAAATCAGGCTCTTGTGTCCGAAACAACGAACGAGACGTATACAGCTCTTTGATCCTCATGGCATGCCACTAGCACCTCAACAGGAGTTGACTTCCATAGAATAGTATTACATCAATCTGTTTGCAGATCCGAAGTTTGGTACCCCTAAACTTGCATCCCTGACCAGACTCCCTTTCGACCGCCAGGATGTGCTCACTGAGCTTTTGCACCTGCCCAGTACCAAAGCCCTGGCGCAAGACGGGTTGCCTGCTTTAATCTGGAAGAATTTCGCGCATAATCTTATTGATCCTTTAATGCATCAAATTCATCAGGTTTGGCCTAGGCACCCCATCCACCTTCCGGATCATTGGACCACAGGTTGGATTCATTTCCTCCCTAATCCTAATAAATGCCCCAGCAAACCTCAGGCACTCCGACCCATATGCTTACAATATTCAATCAACAAGATCCTTGCCGGAATCCAATGCAAGCAGATCGTTCAACAGACGTTCGACAGACTTAGATGTCTTCCGCTATATGCGTACTTGCCTCATAGGGGCACACGCGAGTGCCTTCTCATTGTTGCAGAGCATTGTAGAATTATACGCGTGATATGCAAGGAAGTCAAGATTAGTAGCATGCCTAAGCTGCTTAGAGGCCTCCAGATTTCTTTAAATATGGAAAAGGCCTTTGACACGATCAATCGAACCTTAGTGCTTCGAGCTTTACAATTATACCATTTGGATCATGACCTCTTTCAATTTGTGCATTCGTAGCTCACCCCCCACAAGTATTATATTCCCTTCAAGCAATTGATAGGACAAATCCAGGCACATCGGGAAATAAAACAAGGGGCCAAAGATACCCCCTTATTTTGGACGTTGACCATGAGCCTAGTGCTAGTTGATCTTTAAATCAAATACTCCCATACGTAGCTCCACGAGCACATGGTTGTTTATGCAAATAATATCCGCCTGCGGTAGATAATTCGATCGACAGTCCAAGTCCTTGAGACATTCACTAACCTCCAACACGTGTTAATGACCCTTCAAGCTTTCAAGTTTAACGTGAAGATTCAGGTCAGTAGCCATGCTTCGTCTCCAAGGGAAAGAGGCCCCCCTGTCTTCCTCCGACATTGGGTCAGTCGACCAAAAATTAGCCCGGTGCTAACTCTGCCAGACTACCGTTAGTAGCTGCCGCTCGTGTCAAAAACAACGTATCTCGGTGTCATTATAAAATATAAAGCATAAGACGCTAATACCACTACACGTCGGATCACAGCCGGCAAATGGGGCTTCCGCAATCTCAAGTCCTGGCTTATAAATGATATCCATCCCATCCGAACCAGACTCCGACGGCGGATTCAAGAGGCCCTATCGACCAGACGAAAATACCTCCGCCGTAAAGCCATAAACAGCGAGATGCCGAATGTATGTGTGTGTTCGGCCCAAATCTCTGCATTAAACCCCTACTCCCCCCAGCTAATTACCATTCCACCATGGAAAAACATTCAGGCAGTAACCTGTCCGAAATGCCACAATATCAAAATTTATATACATAATATTCGTATTTATTTAATTATAATTATTTTCGAATTTGCTTTAATATTATTTCATCAATATCTTATATTTATATATTTATTTTATATTATATATAATTAAATAAATATATTTGTATAAAAGTTAATTAATTACGTGACGTGCATTATAAGATTAGATATGTATTCAGTAGTTTTTATAGTCCAATAATATATTATATTAGAATGTATATATATAATTATTTTTTTTTCATAAGAATGATTGATTTATCAAGGATAGGTATTAGGTGGTTACAAGAAGATTCTTAGTCCATACCCAGCCGTCACGCATCCTTATCCTTCTACTGTGGCCACGACGTCGCAACTTCTTGTTGCAGAGCTTGACAAACTCAAGATTCCAGCTCAGGTGACAACATCAACTTAAAATTTTGAGAGATTACCAATGTCAATCATGGAAAGGCAAACAGCTCCCAAAGGAACAACAAACATGGGCAACACTTGGCATACAGTCTGCTGGCACATGCGCCGGCACTGATCGATCTCGCCGACGCGTGGTGTCACATCACAGGCGCTGCGGCATGATCGGTCTTCCAAGCAACTCCTCGCCGCCAGCGTCCGCAGGTGGAGGGCAGCTGTGTCGTCCGTGGTCGTCCGAAAGGGCTCCACAGTCGGTTCTGTGACAGTGGGCACTGTGGGCCTACAAGCCCCTTCGGAAGAGGGTTCGAGGTGCCACGTGAATGTCTGCAATCTCCAGTGCACAAATAGCAGGCGTTAGCTGATCTGTGCTCACGAGTTCCAGCTCCCGCTGCCTGAAGTCTGCACTTGCATGTGGCTTGCAAATTGTCCTGCAAAACGGGCATCGCAAGGGATGGCGTAAATGGAAACAGATCGAGAAAGCAGACCACAAGTTTATCTTTGGGGGTTCCTTTATATCTGTTCAATAGACCAACATGTCGCAATGTCGCATCCCCTGCACAGGCTCAACTGGATCATTTCCACACGGCATCCAAGATGAGAAAGGCTACTCACAGTTGGGCCAAGTGGTCTGAATGAGCTTCCAGGCGTCGCAAGGTGTTCCATCTGAGATTGTATAGGTGCCAGGGTTCTGCTCCCTCTGCTGGGCGAGCTGGCACACTCCAGGACTTCCACTAATGCTGGTGGTGGGGGTGCTGAGAAGGCCTCCTTGATCTCTCGCCAGGAAAAATGACACGCCTTCATATCCGCTGTCAGAGTAGCCAGCCGTTCTCAATTCCTGAAGTGTGAGGCCCGAGTCATGCACTTCGGCCGCTGAGAAACTGATCTTCCTCAACTCTTCAGGCGAGATGTTTACTGTGCGGCTGAGAAACCAGCAGATTTCAACTCTGCAACTGAAAACTCCTTCAACTCTCCGACTCTGAAGGAGGCCCTTCGCAACCCTCTGAGACAATACGCCGCCTTCAACTCCGCGGCCGAGAAGCCAGCGCATTTGAGCTCGAGGATAGAGTTCTGCGCTTTCAAAGCTGCCGGTCGAAAACCAAGCCGGGTCAAATCTTCGAGGGTGCAGCCCCCCTCAATCAGCTCTGCCACTCGTTGAGAATCCTTTTCGCGACATCGAGGCGTTGAGCCTTCTGTTCTCGACATTGAGTCCTGAAGAGGACTTTGAAGCCGGCCCAACTTAAAGCGGTGTCTGCAAACTGGGCGTCCTTCATCTCATCATATGTGAAGCCCGCCTCCCGGAACTCGGGGAGCGGGAAGAGAATATTGATCGAGAGTGAGATGGATGCCTGCCTGCATAAACTTCACAATTGAAAAACCCGCGTCTCTCAGCGTTTCGAGTGAGAAGCCGGCAGCCCCAATCTCCTTGCTGGAGAGCCCTGCCATTTCCGGCTCAGTAGGTGTGTAACCTGCCTCCTTCAACTGGGCAGCTGAGAAGCCAGCCTCCATCAGCTCCACTGCCGAGAAGCCATCATGCTTCAGTTCTCCGAGTGAGAAGCCGCCAAAATTGATTTCCATGAGAGAGAAACCTGCCTGTCTCACTCGATGAGTGGCCTGCATTTCTTAGCATTCTTGCTTCAAAATCAGCCTGCTTCAAGTCCCTGAGGAACAAATCAGCATCTTGAAATCCGGTTTTGAGAAGCCAGCCTCCTTCAAATCCCTCAGTGACAGCCTGCTGCACGACATACTGCACATGAACGACTGGATGGAGAAACTATGAGAAACCTGCCTCTTTCAGCTGCTTTGGCGAAACCAGCATTTCGCAACTGTGCGCATGAGAGGCCCGCTTCTTTCAATTGTCTGACTGTGAAGCCTGCATCCCTCAGCTCTCCTAGCGAGGAGCCAACGATCATCTTTGTGGCTGCGAAACCGGCCTCTTTCAACTGCTTCCCCGAGAAACGAGACTCTTGCAACTCTTGACATGAAAAGCCCGCGCAAGTCAATTCCCTCGCTGTGAAGCCCGCCTTTTTCAGCCTTTCCAGCGAGACGCCAGCAACGATCATTCTCTTGGCTGTGAACCAGTTTCTTTCAACTGCTGGCTTGAGCAATTTGCCGCAAGAAACTGTGCCGGTGTAAACCCCGCAGGGCATAACTCTCTCATTGTGAGCCCGGCCGGCCTGTTTCAGTCTTTTCAGCGAAAAGCCAGCATCTCTCATTTCCTTGCCTGTGAAGCCAGCGTCTTTCAACTGCTTCGCTGTAAAGCCGGCATCTTGTAGCTGTTGCATTGAGAAGCCAGCAGTTCTCATGTTGTGGGCTGTGAAACCCGCCTCTTTCATTTGCTTGGCCGAGCATTCTGCCAAAAGAAACTCTGAAAATGTGAAGCCCGCACGATACAGTTCTTTGGCTGTGTAACCAGCCTCTTTGATCGCCACCAAGCAATCCACGGATGTGAGCTTCCCCAGCGATGACCGTGATTCTCTCAAAGCAATGATCGCACGCATGCCAACATCGGACACGACCACGACCCTTTTTAGGTCGGGCGGTCCCCTGTGGCACAAAGACTGTGGCGATCCCGGGCGGCAAATGAATTTGATGATCACTACATAAAATAGGATATTATAGTGTATATATATATTAATGTATATATTGCGTATGTGAGATGCCGACTCTCCACACTTAAAAAAACAGAAACGAGCATCTGAAGAGGCATGACATGATGCTCTGAGCTGATTCTTGTCCCGATGAACCTTCGTTCCCAATGCGCCAGGTCCACCGGTTCCGGACGATCGGACGGTGACTCGGTGATCCGGTCGGTGATGCCGTTGGGGAGGAAGAAACGGGTCCAGTTGGAGATGGCAAGCTTCTTGAAGCAAGGATAGAGCTCGTTTCATTCACCCATTCGTTCAATGAATAGAACGATACCAGTCATTTAAGTGGTTTTGCAGACATCTTGCAAGCAATCGCCTGATTAACGAATGATCTTCCTGTATGTTCCTGCAACATCCCCCCCTGGACTTTTCTTGGTCCCTGACCAAACACATGGAAATTTAAGACCCTCGAAGTCAGAATAAGACCCTTAAGACCCTGAACACAATTTCTGCCCCTCGCATGAACCCCCCCACCTCTCGATCGGCCTGGTTCTTTTGGACCTCGCCATCTTAGCTTCGGTCCTCACACCGATCGGCCTCTGGTGCGTTCGATGTTGGCTTCGCTGAACTGCGGTGTTTCCCGCAGTGAACCGGCCATGGACCCGGAAGGCGTGTCTGTTCCGGACACGGAAAGCCAAGAAGAAGGCTATAGCAGACTGGCTAGCAGCTATACCTGCAAGATTATATACATCTCTTTACATCAGCTCCTTTTTGAAGATCCAATTCCGCACTTCACCACTGAGGGCATGAACTTCCCTTCACCGGCGAAGTTGAAAGGACAGGAAAACGCGCCTCTCGACGCTCCGTCATGGCCAACATGACTGGTTTTTGGGTGGTGAACGTAGGTCTTGGCACCACCGGATTGTTTGGAGCGTTGGAGCTTTTGATGAAACACATTGAAACACCGAAACACCCCGAAAAACTCTTCCAAGTCCAGCCTTGTGACTGCAAAGCTACTTGCACCGCCGAAAGGATGAATCTGTCCCCAGAAAGGGAAGAACTTACAGTAGTAAGAACTGACCCTTCCTAACTCATCCTGACCTTGGATTTGCCAAATCCCAGGTACAACTGGTTTAAAAGACCTTCTCGGTCCGCTGGTCCATTGCCATCTTCGCTCGACTGAGATCTTCCAAGGCCATCTCAGTAAGAAGCTGGCCTTCCTACGGAAAATCTCATTCGGAGTGAAACTGAACTTCGGGACGGGATGCGATTCTGATTCTGCAGCTCGTTCTCGTGGCGGACCATGCTTTCTCCGGATCGCATGAATGTCGGATGATCTTTTTTCTGACTTCGCTCATGCCGAAGGGATCTAATTGTGTTCACTTCCATCTACCCCACCTATTTGACTTCAACTGAAGTCGGCCCGAGAGCACGGCCAGTTTCGGACACTTCGACAGTAGCCCAGTAGCCGCGACGTTCGCCTCCTGCCGCGACGTTCACTTCTCGGGTGGCGTGAGGTCCAGCTTCACGACCTGCCGAAGGTGGCGTGGAGGTCGAAGCGATGAACCACGAGGGTTGTGGTGAGTGGCTCATGACTGACCATCAGGCTGTCACCCCTGACCATCAGGCTGTCAAACAATATGAAACACATGTGCATGTGACTGGCCCAGCACTCGACCAAATGTCTCTTATATAAAAGGGTAGGCCTTGGCATAACCGTGGGACAACACCTATACCTGGACACGACCTGAGACTGGCATAGGACTACCGATCCGTTGGACCCAGTTCTTCTCCTGGGGATTGATGGGGCGGCACATCTGTCGCCATCGCTGCTTCTGAGGCTCCTGGCCACGTTGTTGTTGCTCTTGGGGCCTTGCCTCAGCGGATGCGGAACGATCCGAACCCATGGAACAGCACGGGCGAACTGCGGACCGGACCGGCATGAATGAGTGCAGTAAGCGAATGAATCAAGGGAAAAGAAGACATAATAACAATTGTTTCATCATAAACATTGAATTTGTTCCAATTTCAGAAGGAGCAGGCAGGTTCCTCAACTGGGAGATTCCAGTTTCTTCGGTCAATGACCTTTGTAGGGTTCGAAGTGCCACAAGCCAGGCCAATGAAACATGTGGGTGCTTCTCAAAAAACAAACAAACACAAACAGAGCAGCCCCACACCTGGTGTTGTCATTCATTTCAACTGCTTGTGGGTTGCAGGTGTTTCCTCTTTGTTGCTCTGTCCACGGTCTCGAACCGTGCTTTGTACCGGATCTTGCTGGCAAGCACCGGAACTGACCCCCCAAACCATCTTCTGCGAACGGGAACCTAGGTCCAAAGTCGCCCAGGTTTCCCAACAGATCCACCAGAACCAGCTGCCTGAACCAACCGGACTTCTGCTTGGCCCACACAACAAAAGGTCCCTTGGCGCCATCCACCGTCCCCATCCACGATGGAAACTCTTCCCTGGGCGCCGTGACAAGCCCTTGGCGACGATGTCTCCAGTTTCGTCGCCCATCTGGGAGACGGGGCAGACGAACAAACCGAGGGACGAACAAACCGGGGCGCTGTTGCGGGAACCCCGCACCGGATCAAGATGAAACTAAGCAGTGTCTGCCACCAACTTGCAACTCTCAAAGAAGCCATGTAAAACGGATTCCTCTTCTTACTGACACCATTTCCAGAGTCCCTGTATTGCACAGTAGCGGACTGTAGCATGATGCATAATCATTTCTCCAGATTGTAATCTGAACGTAGATCAATTTACCATTTAGTTATCTTACGCAAATTCGCACATTCTAACTGCCAGCAACTTCCTTTTTCACTCCCTCCACACCTGTTCACCCACAAAAGGAATCACCGTCTTCCGCCTCACAGGGTCGACCCTCCATCAACTACTTCACCCGGCTCGCGCGCTCGTTGGCTCGTTGCCTCGTTTGCTCCTCCCTCGTTTGCTTCCCGCCTTGGCCGCCAGGTGGTCTCGGATCAACGTGGCGCGGTTCTCGGCCATCTGCTCCTGCAGCGGTTCGCGTCGGGCGCTGAAGCGAAGATGTTCGGCTGCTCCCGGGATGGGACGATGGGAGGATCAACAAAGAGCAACCCCGCAACCCCTTAGAGCCAGAAGACGCTGGAAATCAACTCCTCCAACTCCAGCAGTGCGTCCCAGAGATGCATCCAGCAAGTTCAATCGACCGTCAGCTCGGATTCCAACATATTCCAACTATTCTCCCGATCGAAAGATCAGCAAGCTCGAACACTCTGGCCAATCTATCGTACAAGGAGCATCAGCAAATGCAACTTTTTCAAAAACCCAACCCACGAATGTTTGTTGCACAAGGTCATGCATTTCAGGCCCCTGCTAGATCGAACACACCCGACACTTGCTAATCTATTCTATTCTTGCTATATCCTGACTTCCCTTGCTTGCTGGGCCCATACAAATGACATGTGGAGCCAATCCACAGCGGAAACCAATCCTTGAACGCGTAGAAATCCAAACGGGATTCATTGGATTCATTAATCTAGCATCATCACGCATCATCTAGCAATACAAATGTCCCACTTCAAAGGCATTCTTTCAAAAAAAGGGCCACTAGGTCACTAGGGCTACGAGATGTTGCAAGTGAAGCATCAACAAATCCATCAAAACCCTCACTAAACCGCGTCCACTCAACCCGCTCAACCCGCTCCCAGAAGGCATCGGCGCCCTTGCCGGCAGGCTTCACGTGGCTTTCCACCGTGATCCGCGCACCCTTGAGCCTCAGCGACGAGAAGATGAGAACTTATGAGATCTGCAGGGCGACGAGAAGATGAGTTGGGAAGATGAGAACGACTAATGGACTAAAGGACTAAACATGAATGGGACCTCCATGTGATGTGGGGTATCCAAAGGGTATCCAAAGGGTATCCAAAGGGTATCCAAAAAGTATCGATGTCTGAGGTGCAGGAGAACGGGACAAGAATGGTTGCAGCTTGCAATTCACTGCCACAGTGGATGAAGCGCCTTCAATATCCTTCAATTCACTTTATCCGTCTG